TGGAATCTCCTTTCCCGTAGTGTGAAGCCATTGTTCTGCATCCTAGCCTCCAGGGCAGCAGAAAACAAGTTTGCTCCCTCCTCCCTATGACTTCCCCTCACATATTTATACATGGCCATCATGTCTCCTCTCAGCCTTCTCTTCTGCAGGCTAAACGTGCCCAGCTCTTTCAGCCACTCCTCATAGGGCTTGTTCTCCAGACTCTTAATCATTTTAGTTGCCCTCCTCTGGACACATTCCAGCTTGTCAACATCTCACTTCAATTGTGGTGCCCAGAGTTCCTAATTTTTTTTTATCATAGCAGTCTGAAATCCATCACAACTATGGAATATGTTTTTTGTGTTGAGTTTGTAGTAGTTATGGTTATTAAACTGGCACTTATAAGATGGAGACTCATAGGTTTCAATATAGCCTGGCCTGGCATAACTTGACAAGTCTGAGAAGAGTCTTGGCATAAACTTGAAGGAGTCACTGAGGTAAACAAGATGGGTCTCAGAGTGGAAGTGGAAGTAACACCTTCTTAATTTAGCTGCCCCTCCAGGCATTTTGCATGGGGATGTCAGCTGGCTCTAAGACAGGAAATGACTGAGTAGGTGAAAAGTGTTCCCTCTTATTTAACAAACAGCTATTTAAACATACATTTTAGATCCTTCCCCAAATCGTCTACGGCCCTTCCATACATATATAGTCATATGTAGAGCAGATCCCTGATATCAATAACACCTAAATTAGTCAAGACCTCTGGTTTTCACTTGATCTACTCTAATTATCTAAATCAGGGGTTCTCAAACTTTTAAAGAAGAGGGCCAATTCACGGTCCCTCAGATTGTTGGGGGACTGGACTATAGTTTGAAAAAAAATGAACGAATTGCTACGCATTGCTGCATATATCTTATTTGTAGCACAAAAAAAGGAAAAACAATACAATATTTAAAATGAAGAATATTTTTAACCGACATAAACTTATCAGTAATTCAATGGGAAGTGTAGTACTGCATTTGGCTGATGAGATAGTCAGGTTAATTAAGATTGTTGTTGTTGTGTGTCTTCAAGTTGTTTCAGATTTATGGCAACCCTAAGTCTACAGTTTAGGGCAAGAACCGAGTAAATGGCCTTGGAAGGGCACATCCTGCCCACAGACATTAGTTTGGGGACCCCTGATCTGGTTTCTAGATCCATCCAAAGGAAAAGGTTTCCCCTTGACATTAAGTCTAGTCAAATCCGACACTGGGGGACTCTGGAAATGCTCATCTCTATTTCTAAGCCAAAGAGCCGGTGTTGTCCGTAGATGCCCCCAAGGTCATGTGGGTTGGCATGACTGCATGGAGTGCCGTTACCTTCCTGCCATAATGATATCTATTGACCTGCTCACATTTGTATGTTTTCGAACTGCTAGGTTGGCATAAGCTGGGGCTAACAGCAGGAGCTCACCCTGCTCCTCGGATTTGAACTGCCGACCTTTCAGTCAGCAAGTTCAGCAGCTCAGTGGCTCCAGATCCATCCATACACATCTTCAATTGAATCAATAAGCCATGGGGGTGGGAGGTGGTGAGGAGAGAAGAAGCTATTTGCTGAATCAGATAGTACCAGAAAGAGAGGAAATTTGAGACAAGATGTTGGTAAATTGTAGGTTGCATAGAGCCTCAGAGGCCCCACTGGGAATTCCCCAATAAGTACTGCAAAAATGATTGGAAACTAGTTTTCACATCTCAGAGGATATAGGAGTCATTTTTCTAATGGACATGGTCATCACTTTTCTTGAATTAGTGGTAGCATAACTAAGTTACACCTATTTCTAAAGTAATTCATTCTGATGTGGGCCATTTACTTTCTCACAACAGATTTCTTCCTGCAATTTCTTGAAACAGTAGTTATCATACCAGACTTAAAGATCCATGCAGTATTCCATGACATGGTGATCTGTCGCTGCCTTATCCAACATCTTTTTTCCATCTTGGTAAAATCCTAGTTCACCTTACTTAAGCAGGGCTGCTTTCCAGGTCTCTTTCCTACATTAACTATTAGCATTTTATGTTTTGCCAACTTTCTGGAAGAATGCATCATAATTTATGAAGGTGCCTCGTGTTATTTATTTCCTCACTTCCAGAGATATGTTTATCATATGCTATTATGAATCACCAGCAAATAGCCTTGTTTCCTTCCATGACATTGAATCTAGGTGAAAATAGATCTTTTCCCTTATTTACAAAATGTTCCCTTAACCTGCCCATTCATTTAGTTGAAATACTCAAAGTACAATGGCTGTAAAGCCCAAAATGTAAAGTTTAGAGCAGAGGTAGGCAAAGGGTGGCCTTCCAACTGCTTCTGAATTGTAACCTCTATCAGCCCTGACTGTCATAGCTAATATCGAAAAAATCTGTAGTTCACAAAGACCAGAAGAGCCACCGTTTGCCCTCTCTTCCACAGTCGTTCTCAGCCTGTTGATCCTCAGGTGTTTTGGTCTACAACTCCCAGAAATCCCAGTGAATTTACCAGCTGTTAGGATTTCTGGAAGTTAAAGGCCAAAACATCTGGGGACCCACAGGTTGAGGACCACTGATCTAGAATCATTCACTACTATCACAAATATTTTAGCTTAAGCAGCTTAAAATTCAGTACAGGATTCCTACTTGTTTGCCTCGTTTTCCTGGTCTTCCAGTCGGTCCTCTGTACCCCGGTGCACCAGATTCCCCCTTTGGACCCATTTCTCCCTGAAGGGAGAAGACAAAGGATAGGACTTCACTACATATTATTAAATAAGTCATCGTATTTAAACACAGCAGACAATTTTGTACATGGTGTGCAGGCATGTAGCCGGGGGGGGGGGCCTTGAGGGGCTTCACCCCCCCCCCCAATTCTCATGGTGGTTCGCGAAAAGGCCTTACTGGTGCATTATTTAAACTGTTATGTTTATTCATATCATGATCTGATCACCATACTCAATATATCCCATATGCATGGGGGTATTGGGGTAATGATACAAAAGGTTTGCTAGGCTAGACCCTCTTCCACTCAGACTCAGCCCCCCCCCGAAACTCAGCCCCCCCCAAAAAAAACCCTGAATTTTTTTACCCCCCCCCCCCCCGAAACGAAATCCTGGCTATGGACCTGGTGGTGTGTGTGTGTCTAAATTATTGTGGAACTAATATTAAGCAACAACTGTTTTTCAAAAAACCTAGAAATTATTCTGCGAAAAACCTGGAAGTAAACTATGAAACTTGATAAATATCTTCTGAAATATTAATACCAATATAAGTCAGTCAGATCAACAACATTAAAATTTCCACTATCTTATACACATACCTTCTGTCCAAGCATTCCAGGGAAACCTATGTAGCCCTGAAAGGAAAATTTGGCAGAAATATATATCATAAACCATTTTATGTTTTTAACGTACACAATATAAAAAGACAGGTTTATTCTGCTTAAGGCAAGGACTTTATCTGTTTTCCTAGCATTTTACCTCATTACAATAAGCTGTAAAATCTACTTGCAATAATATAAACTTACAGATAATTACAAACATTTGACTAAGTATGATTGCAGGGACGAGGGCTAACATTCATTGGAATTAAGTCAAGTACATATTGTATTATTTTACTGATAACAAAGATTCCTGAATGCAACCTTTAAGCACAGTGATGAATTGTATATTTTGCCTTGCTGTTTCCACACCAACAAATTAAATCCTTTACCTTCTGTCACTTCATGGCCATGAGGGGGTTTGGTCTAACCTTTCTATCTCTAGTGCAGAGATTCTTAACTTGTGGGTCCCCAGGTGTTTTGGACTACAACTCTCAGAAATCCCAGCCAGTTTACCAGCTGTTAGGATTTCCAAGAGCTGAAGGCCAAAACTTCTGGGGACCCACAGATTGAGAACTATTGCTCTAGTGGTTCTCAACTTGGGTCCCCGGGTGTTTTGGACTACAACTCTCAGAAATCCCAGCCAGTTTATGAGCTGTTAGGATTTCCGAGAGCTGAATGCCACAACATCTGGGGACCCACAGATTGAGAACCACTGGTATAAATCCTTCCTCAGGACCACTTAAACTTCACCTTCAGCAAATGCTTCAAGCACCATGCAGTCTGTGACATTGACATTTTTCTTCTCCTGTATGATTTTTTTTTTGCCATGTCTGTCTGACCAAAAAACCAATGGGATCCGAAAGGCTGTATGGTGTATTCTGTACAAAATTGTCATGGGCCCATTCATCAGGCATACCGGCCAGTATTGTACCCCATGCCATGAATTTGAAGAAGAATTGAGAATCCTATGTTTAATATATTTCCTTTCTGATGAGAGATGTGTGCTATTCTAAACTATGTATTTTTGCATAGCACTTATGCAGTAACAAGCCACACAGAAAAACTGTCAGGCCATCAATTGCTAATCAAGGTGGCCAGTTGAAACATTCACACTGAGCTCCAACAGACAAGAGTGCTTTCTCCCACCCTGGACATTCCACAGATATATAAATCCAATTTTCCTAGTTTCCAACAGACCATACAACCTCTGAGGATGCTTGCCACAGATGCAGGTGAAACGTCAGCAGAGAATATTTCTAGAACATGGCCATATAGCCCAAAAAACCTACAGCAACCCAGTGATTCCTGACATGAAAGCCTTCAACAATACAGTTATGCTATTAATGCTATAAGAGATAAAACTATATTAAGAACCACTGAGGTACTCTTTGGGGGCAATTTTACCTTGTCACCTTTGCTGCCTTTGGAACCTTTCTCTCCTTGAGTTCCCTATAGCAAGAAAATTCAGAAAGAAAAGCTATGTAAAACAGTATTTTAGAAATGACACCGTTTTTCCAGTGTTGACTGCAGAGTTATATACTAAAACTCAACAAAATAGAATTATTAAAATTCATGAAAGTATCCCTCCTTTGAAATGTAACATTTTTCAATAACTAGCTAAGCATTCTCTGCATCACTAACCTTTTCTCCTCTGCTTCCCGGGTAACCCTGGAAAAAGGACAGTTATTTTAATGTTTGGTGTTGGTTAAACAATATTAATATATGGAGTTTAAAATCAGGATGGAAAAACCATAAGATATTAGTGGCACCAAGATTTTTCCTTGTATCTTTAATAGAAATCATAAACCAAAATATATAAAGCAAAAGCAACAAGGTATAGCAAGCAGTAGTGCAGCCACAGCAAGCAGCTGATTTTGGTGTAATGAATGAACAGCAAATGATTAGTGATTTACTTTGTTATGATATTTGTACGACCAGTATGGCCAGAGTTATATGTAGGATTTTCTGTCCCATGTACCAAAATATCTAGGCACCGCCATCTGAGTAACTGAAGGGCATCATTCACTCAGGCAGAAAAATGTACCTGGCAAGCTTGTTAGCTCTTTGAAATAGCTTTGGAAACTAAAATGAAAAAGAAAGCAAGTACAACGGCCCCTCTGTATCCACTGGGGTTTGCTTCAAGAACTTCTGTGGACACTAAAATATCCATTGTTTACAATGCCATAGTAAAACGGGGTACCTTATATAAAAATGGCTAAAACTGAACTGTGGATGGCTGAATCTATGAATACAGAGTGTCGACTGTATAACTCCAAGCATTATAATAAATAAAAATATGTCTACAACCATAAATCATCTGAAGACATTTTCCCCAACTCTCCAGCAATGCTAAGTCACTTCAATATTTGTTTTCACTACATTTCAAATTGAGAGTCAACTTCATCAAAGCACTTAAGATTTGTGATGTTAAAGAAACCATTACGGCAGTCTCACATCAAAAATAAATGCACAATTAAAGTATTACTGTAGCTCTGTATGTATGACTTCTGAGTGAATGATGCTAAGACTTCTTTTGGAGTGCAGACAGTATTCTACTAACTGAGAAACCGCACTTGTCTCCTTTAAACACCATGTCTCCTTTAAACACATGAAAATATCATGATCCAAACTCGTACTTCTTCCTTCGTGCCCTGTCCTTTTCATATTACCTGATGTAGAATTCGGGACAACATGGAAACATGCACAATATATCTGCAACTTGCTTAGTCTTAATAAAGTGTGTTACTTGAATGTAAACTCTTGGTTTGGTTTGTTCCCATGGACCAGCACTGATGTTTTACTGTATTTTTAGTATGACCATTTTGTAATCAGACCATCATCAGCTAACAAAGATGCTGCCTTTTTCATACTATGCATTTTATTAGGCTTACACAAAGAAATGACACTCTCTCATGGTCATCACTGGACATACTGTGTTTCCTTTGTTCATATTTTCCTTCTGCATAGTTAAGAAGTCTGTATATAATAAAATTACTGGCATTGGATGATGGGGATAATTCAAGAGCACTGCAAAAGATGAAGTGCAGGGATTTGCTTTTCAGCTTATTCTATTTTATTTGGGATTGCTATAAGGTATATAACAAAGGAAAGTTGAAAGATTCCTTTAATGCTTTTACTATATCTACAGAATCAGCAAGGTCTATATTTTCAAATATTCTCTATCTTCACATAAACATTTCTGCTGTGCGAAATATACACAAGCATTTTATAACCAATAAAGCAGCTACAAGCAGTTGTTAGAAGGCAGAGAAGAATAACACAGCATCTGGGTTGACAAACCTTAGAGCCCGTTGGTCCTCTTGTACCTGGCAAGCCCATCAAACCTAAATCACCCTTTTCGCCCTAAAAGGGTTAATGAAGAGAGTTATGTATTGTGGCCACAATAAAGTGGAAGTAACAGGAATGAATGAGTCTGCATTAGAAACATGCATCATTTCTACAATTCTTCCTGCGAAGGGGATCTTTAAGAAAAATAACATATCATTCAACCTAAATATTGAAGCAATAGTGGAGGGTAACATTTTATCCTAAACGGCAGATGACTTTACCAGCACTACAACGCTGAGGCCGACCAGCAGAATCTGGAAAATCTGCTAGATTGCAGCTCTGGGAATTTCTCAGCTGTCACTTAGAGATCGAAACCGGCTCAATTTATATTGTTAAAATGAGCAAGAATCAGTTACTCTGCCCCTGGAGAAATGAATGGTTGTATGGTTGTCATTTTTAACTTGCAGTCCCTTTTGTTTGTGCCCTAGTAACCACAGTGATGGGAAAAAAATCCCATTTAAGAAAAGGAAATAGGGAGTGAGATACAACTGGCTTCAGTTTCAGACCCTGTTGTCTTAAAACTCTGGAATGGGTGTGTTTCCAGAGCTTTCCAGAACAACTACTACTTGTTTTAAGTTCTGATGCCCAGAGGCTGTATTTCTGATTGGGTTGGGTCTACTTGAGTGAACGGTTTGCAGAGATCAGCTGTTCAACTGTTTGGATCATCTGTTTTGGCAACAGATCTGGCCAGTTTCACTTGCATCTTAATTTCATCTGACATATTACTGGCAATCCTCTCTGAGACACCGGGCCACTTAGAAACGTAGCCTGGCAGCTGTATGGTCTGCACTGCAAATGTCTTTGCACAAATCTCTCTGGCCATCCACGTGGCCTGCTGGAAAATTGGAAAGCAGCTGCCTGCGGACAAATGCTGCAACCCCTGGTTTGAAGAGAAGCAAGTAATTAAGTACTTTTTGCTGCATAAAGAGGAAAAAAGAAGGGAAACAAGCAGAGAATTCCTCTTCAAATCTAGCACATTTTCAAATTTTAACATTTTTCCATTGGGATGAAGCTGTCAAAAGCTAGGCAGTTTTTGAAAACTGTTCAGTTTGGAAATTATGTGAAACAATACATGTTTTTAACCAGAAAAAAATGTTTTTTTGAACAGAAATTAAGTTTCTTTCTTAGAAAACAGCACTTGAGATACTGTTTTTGTACCAGAAATTTGTTTTCTGCACAAAAATTACTATTTTTCATGCCAAAAATGTTTTCTGCACACAATCGTTCCATGTGTATTTTTGTGTACAATATGTCCTAAACTGTGAACATGCTCACTTATCTAGAGTTAACAAAATTTCCCAAAACTCAAGAAACAGTTTTTCATCTTCTTCAAAATATATTTTTGAATCTTCCTACTTGACTCTCTCAACCTATGGCTTCTTTGAAGAAAAGTAACCACTGTTGATTGCCAGATAAGCTACTAACCTATAAAATTGATTGTGTGAATGGCAGTACCATACAGTAGCTGATTATAACAAAAATCAACTGGGGAGATTAAAAAATATTCCAATTTGTAAATCATCACAAATATTGGACACTAATTGTGATATTCAAACAGCAGATCCAATCAGCTCTGTGAGTCCCCCCTAGGGGGTTGAGAAGGGCGGGGTAAAAATACCAGAAATAAATAAATAAATAAAAATAGTATATTATCCGTTCACAATAAGCTGCCTATTTTGTCTTATGTTTGAGAGTTGCAATTAAATAGGTATTTCAAGAAAGTAAATAAAAAGAAAAATAATAATAAATGGCAGATATGTTACCTTGAGTTCTCATTTTGAGAACTCCTCCTTTGTAGCAATTCTTCTTGTGTTTTCAGAGAACGTTGTTTAGCCACCCACCATTTTGAACTGGGAGCTGCTGGGATAAAGGTGTGGATGGGCCCTCAGATGTAAGGCAGATCTAGACAGCCCCTTTATTGCGGGAACTTCTGCACTAAAAAGGAGTCTGTCCAGACAACATTCTGGCCAAACCGGAATTAATCTGCCACAAACCAGGAAAAGCCTAGTTTGTGGTGAATTAATTTGATAGTGGGTTCTTGACAGTATTCCCACAGTTTTCCGGGCTAAAATAAGGGGACGTGCTAAAGTCCAACAACTTGACATTATAGACAAGTTTGCCGTACATCAAAGAGGCTGGTTTTGACAAAATGAATTCAAATGAATATACATTATGAATTGTACTGTATATATCCTTACCCTAGGCCCCATTGGACCAGGCCATCCAATAGATCCAGGCATTCCAGGGACACCTGGAGGACCCGGGCTGCCCTTCAAAAAAAAGAAGAATGGCATGGGAAAGAGAAAGAAATAAAAATTAAATACAGTGACAATGAGTTTCATATAGGTCATCATGCAAAATAAGGATGGATGTTTTGGAAATAATTATGAAGGCTGTAAAACAAAAGTACTTTATTATAAAGGTACAAACATATTAATTTTACTCTGTTCTGATAAAAAAAAAACCCCTCACAGATAGAAGATCAATAAACATAAGTCAGCATTCTGGAAGGTATTTCATTTAAGAAGGTTACTATAAAGGTTTTATGAAATTTCTCCCATACCTTTCTTCCTGGTCTGCCAATTTCACCCTGTTGGAGAAAATGATGCATAAATACAAGACACAAATAATAACCCAAACAATTGTAATTTTTGGAGTTTGTTCTGTCAATGTCTGCATAATTTTAGTTGACATATTTGCATGCATTCTGCATGGGACATTTGGTTGAGATTTGTACATGCATTTTGCATGTGGCAAAATTGTTATTTAAAGAATGTTTTAATGCAAACACTTGCTCGTAAATCACTAAAAAAGTTCTAATTCTGGTCTGCCTCTATGTCTGGGGATTAAATTTATTTGATTTATTTGCATATGAATGTTATTTTCTGTGCAGAAAATGTATTTATTTATTTATTTACTGCATTTATATCCCGCCCTTCTCACCTTGAAGGGGACTCAGGGCGGCTCATAAAAAAGGCACAATTTGATGCCACGTATACATACATAGGATAAAACAAAACATATACATTAAAACCAAAATAATTAAAACATCATAATCTTAAAACCAATAACTCAAAAGCACACAGTCCAAAATTCTGTTTTCTGTGCAATAAACTTGTTTCCTGTGCAAACATGTTATTTATTGGGTTGTTTTAGGTTTTTTCGGATTATATGGCCATGTTCTAGAGGCATTTTCTCCTGACATTTCGCCTGCATCTATGACAAGGATCCTGAGAGGTACTGAGGTACCTCTGAGGATGCTTGCCATAGATGCAGGTGAAATGTCAGGAGAAAATGCCTCTAGAACATGGCCATATAGCCCAAAAAAACCTACAACAACCCAGTGATTCCGGCCATGAAAACCTTCGACAATACATGTTATTTATTATGCCAAAAATAGAATAAGTGCTGAACAGTTAAAATTCTCACACTCTGAGGAGTATTTTATCTGGGGTTATCAACTCCCCCCCCCCTTAAAAAAGACCAATTTTCACAATTTCCCAAATATTTACATTTTTTTCTGTTCCTAGACCTCACATGACATCAATATGTAAATACAAGCACATACACGCACACACAAAGACACCCTGACAAATTCACAGTTTTTTCAGTTATAGAATGGGGTGGACAACTAATCCAGAGTTGGGGGCCACTGTTGAGACTGACCAATTGTTTGCGGACTGCATTTTCTTGATTTTATAAAAAGTTAAATCATTTACTACATATGTATTAAATAGTTTAAAATTATAGAAATTGATTTTAAATAATTCTTCACTAAATCACTTCTTTATCAGAACTACTTCTGTTGTGATTAACACATAAAATTCTCTATACATACTTGATTAATTCTGATAAATTATTATTATTATTATTATTATTAACTTTATTTGTACCCCGCTAGCATCTCCCGAAGGACTCGATGCGGCTTACAAAGGCCAAGGCCTCAAAACATAACATAACAATACACAACCTAAGCAAATTAAAAACAGTTAAAGCAATATTAAAACAAACAAGCAATAAACAATACACCAAGACGCAATAAAACTGAACCGGGCCAGAGTAATGGGTACAGATTAAAAGTGCTGACGTGACAGGTGGTATGTAAGGATTATGGGGTAAGTGCAGTGTGCAGTGTGCAGCAATCTTAATTCTAATAAAGTGTTTCTGGGACTTGTTGTTGGAGGGTTCCTACTCTGGAAAGGCACATAGGAACAGCCAAGTCTTCAAGTTCTTTCTAAAGATTGCCAATGTAGGGGCCTGTCTAAGATCTTTGGGGAGGGTGTTCCAGAGTCGGGGGGCCACGACAGAAAAGGCCCTGTCTCGCGTCCCCACAGGCGGAATCGCGAGCAGGGCCTCTCCGGATGAATGAAGTAAGCACGTGGGTTCATACACGGAGATGTGGTCACACAGGTAGGATGGTCCCAAACCGTTTAGGGCTTTGTAGGTCAGCACCTGCACCTTAAATTGGGCTCGGAAAATAAACGGCAGCCAGTGGAGCTCCTTGAACAGGAGGGTTGACCTTTCTTTGTAAGGAGCACCAGTTAACATCCTGGCCGCTGCCTGTTGGACCAATTGAAATTTCCAAGCCGTTTTCAAGGGCATCCCCACATAGAGCGCATTACAGTAGTCCAATCTAGAGGTGACCAAGGCATGGACCACCCCAGCCAGATCAGCCTTTGCGAGGTACGGTCGCAGTTGGCGCACGAGTCTCAATTGTGCAAAAGCCCTCCCGGACACCGCCGACGCCTGAGCCTCAAGCATAAGCGATGAATTCAAGAGGACTCCCAAACTGCGGACCTGTGACTTCAGGGGGAGTGTAACCCCTTCCAGCACATGTTGCCACCCTATACCCCGGTCAGGTTTGCGATCGACTAGGAGGACCTCTGTCTTGTCGGGATTGATCTTCAGCTTGTTCCTCCTCATCCAGATAGACAGTGGCCAGGCACTTGTCCAGGACCCGGGAGGCCTCCTTGGAATTGGGTGGAAATGGGTAATAGAGTTGTGTGTCATCTGCATATAGGTGGCACCTAACTCCAAAACTCTGGATGACCTCTCCCAGCGGTTTCATGTAGATGTTAAAGAGTATGGGAGACAGAATAGAGCCTTGCGGGACCCCACAGGTAAATGAACCTAAAATGCATTTACATGTATTATAAGTAATATGAGCTAAAAGGTACTAAATTGACCATGATATTGACTATCCTATTGACTATATAACATCTCTAGCCTTATCATCCTAGAATACTTCTGTATGCGATTCTGAGATATCACACACGGAGCCCCACGCCACTCATCAGATAACACAGGGTGACTTCAGGTGGGGCTCCGTGGTTGAACTGGGGAGGCAGTGTGGAAGGACACCGTCACCACCAACACAGAATCCTCCCTGTGTTCCATAAAGAACAACAGGACTTCTGTGGGTGTCAGCTGTACGACAACGCTTCCCTGTGCATTAGCTTGCCCAAATGCCGCCCCAGTGACACCCAGTATCCAGTGCAGTGATTCGGAGACTGGCGAATCGCTACACTGGACTTCATCCATGTGATGAGGTTCTTAGTTATACTGCATTAAGTGGTGTACTTATAATTTTAGCACCAATCAATATCTGGGGAATACGAGTATGGGCTACAAAAAACACTCAGGCAGGGACACATTTTGCCCATCCCAATGTATAAAACAACGTTGGGACTTACTTTTGCCCCTTTTGGTCCTTTCATACCAGGAATACCCTGTGGGCCCTAAAAATAAAAAAGAAACGAAATATTTATTTATAATGTATCTCACCTGTACTCTGTCCCTAGATTTTTCATGAGTACCTTGTGACTAAGTCGATGTTTTTTGTGCATCTTTCACATGAATCTCTAGCAGACTATGCCCATACAGTTTGTTGTGAAAGTAGATTCAAAACTCCATATCAGGTTCAACTCTTTCTCTATCTCCTTCGACGGAACTCAGCATTACCAACCAGGTGACACATTATCCTAAATCTATCAATGACCATTTTCAGCATCTTCATAAAGATAATAAATAACACTGGGAACAGGTTAGTACTAAACAGCACTCCAATATATAATTGCTAGCTTACTCAAGCAGTGCTACCAAGTAGATCCACAAAAGTGGGACAACTGTTAATATTGTGCAGCCAAGACCTGACCAATGGAATCAATCCAAAAGGATGCCATTGAAAGCTGTTGAGGGATCAAGCAGGAGCACTAGGGTCACACATTTCTGTTTCTTTCCAGTAGAAAGCCATCCATCAAGGTGACTAAGGCCTATTTTGTCACCAGCCCAGGCCTGGTCATACAATGAAAGATGTCATTCAACAAAAGTGTCTGCAGTTAATCTATTATCACCTTCTCAAATGCCTTGCACATGAATATATTGTTGGCCATACAAAACCTGTAACATTTGAACTGATGGTAACCACTCCATTCCAAAAAAAGCCAATCAGCCCTTGGACTCACTTCATCATATACACAGAACACATACATATACACACCAGTCAGCACAAATAAACTCATATAGGTTAAAAGGGGACATTGTTCATTAATTAACTACAAGCATCCTATCCATGTCCTTAAACTGAAATAAATGCAACAAAATAGAATAAGACTGTGCATTTAGTACCTCCACTTTGTACCATTCTAATTGTGTGTGCAAAGTGACTTGTCTCACAGCCCAAACAAAGACGAAAAAACATACCGAAGGAATATCAAGGCCACACTTTGTATATTGGTTACATAGGATTGGCACATGGGTCCTGGATCACCGCATCGGAAAACCCGCATGCTGTATCAACAGCCCCATGGAGAGGCCTCCAGACATTGTCCAAGAGGACACCCAAACTGAAGCAGAGGAACCAATACTGGGGCATAGTGCAGGCTTTCATTCAATGCCAATCTGGACTCCCTGCACTATCACGATACTCAACACACAAGAGGCAGATCCCTCAGTTGAGGGTGAACAAATCATAACTGGATCCAGGGCCCATACCAACCTCCACAAAAGGTGACCACCACCCGGGGGGAGCACCTGTCGCCAACCCTAACACCCAGTTGTAATAGCACAGATGATCTCTGAGTACATAAACTCAGTGCGGCAGATGATAACAAGCATGACACCAAGCTGAACATTTTTGCCAGACATCTACAGTGTTACCGGCAACAAAATGAACTCCACATTGAAGTTTAAGTAATTTGAGTTATCACTGCCTTCTCAACTGTTTGAAATTCATCTGAGTTTAGACTGGCCCAATGTTAATGAATTAAAATGATATACTAAGGGATTCTTTCTACTCAAATCTTCTAAATACATTAGCATATCATGAGCTACACTGATAGATAAGAGAATAAATTTCCAGAATAGGAAGCAACAAGCATTTTCTTATCATTGTATTATACAATGCTGAAATGACAAAAATGGAAGCACACCTAACCACTTAGTGTGTTTTGTTTATCAGCAGTAATTCAAAGGCCACAAAACAGTGTACTTGTAAAGAATTAAGTGCATAACAAAACAGAGAGCTGGCATTATAGCCTAACATGCTAGGATGTAGGAAACAGAAGGAAATGGTTGTTATTGTGCTTTGATTCCTAGTGGTCCAGTAATATGACATGAGTCCTTTGTCATGGAAGTGGTATCATGTCACACTGCTGGACTACTATGGATCAAAACAACATAACAACAATTTCCTTCTGTATCCTACATCCTAGCATGTCAGACTATAATAGCAGAGGCACTTCAATAGGAAATGAGAGGCTAATCTGAGCTTGTTTACCTGAAGCTCAAAACCTAGCTAAAAGCGACAATTAGTACAGTCATCCCTCTACCTTCACCAGGGTAAGGAGAAAATGCTTTCATGAAAGTTGGAAAATGTGAATTAAAAAACCACTATTTCTTTTTATCTGAGAGAATACTTGTCTGGGAATTTCTATGTTTATCCTCATGACTCTAAAGGTCACCTTTTGCCAAAGTGTTCTCTCTAGGAATCTCTAGGTCAGTGGTCCTCAAACGTTTTAAGTAGAGGGCCGATTCACGGTCCCTAAGACTGTTTGGGGCAGACGGCGGACTACAGTTTGAAGAAAACATCAACAAAAATCTATAGACACAGCAAATACCTTTATTATACTGCAAAAACATAAAGAAACAATACAATATTTAAATTGAAAAACAACTTTAACCAACATAAACTTAACGGAAGTGTGGGCTTGATTTTTACTTCTAAGATAGTCTAATTAATTAGGATTGTTGTTGTTGTGTGCCTTCAAATTGTTTCAGACTTGGGGTGACCCTAAGCCTAAGGTTTAGGGTGGGGGTGCTTGGTAAATGACCTTGGAGGGTTGCATTGGCCCGTGGGCCTTAGTTTGGGGACCCTGCTCTAGACACCCAGCAGAAGTTGACCACAGAGTCACACTGGAAGACCTAAAGATTCCTAGAGAGAACATATTTATTGGATCCATGACTAGTCAAATCTGCAGTAGTGAAACCTGCAAATATGGAGGACCAACTATAGTTTAAAAGGATGGTTAGTTTCACAGGAACATCTCTCAAGATGCCTTCTCTGTATCTGCATCCTCCTCTCCCATACAATGATTAACCAAAGTACACTCTTTCTAAGAGAACCACCCCACCCAAGATTAACCTCCATTCAAACCTTGCACTGCATATTTTGTTTCCATTATCATACAAACTAAATAAGCATGAAATTATGTCTAATTAGCATTTTAATGTATATCTCATGCTTCTGTTCAGATTATGTTCTTCCCAGAGGAGTATGTTCCAGCAAATAAGCCCCAGCTGGATTTCATGTGACCACAGTATAATCAGCCACCTAATTACTTAAATCACACTGGGAGGAATTTTCATTCATAGTCTTTGTGTTGTTGGGCTTTGATGTCCACCACAATTAATATGATCACTTGTTTAATTTATCTTTTAATTAGAGCGAATATGGATGGAAAGAAAGGAAGTGTATCATTTTTACTGGTCTGGAGCATTTAGGGATCAGTTGCAGCAAAGTTTCAGTCAAAGCCAACAGCAATTAATTTTGTAATGGCCTAAATCCAACATAACCAAGACCAAGGCTCAAAGTTGCCCAATAACTAGCTAGTTTTTTAGGTCCTCAGAACAGAGTTTGGAAGGTTACCATGAGAACAGCCAGTGTGGTGTAGTAGTCTGATCATTGGATTACAATTCTGAGACCAGGATTTGATTTACTGCTCAGCCATAGAAACCCATGGGATCACTTTGGCCAGGCCACACTCTTTCAGCTCAGAAAACTCCACAATTGGTTCACATCAGGGTCTCCATAAGGTGGAAACAACCTGAAGGCAAACAACAACAATGAGACGGGGCGGTACCCTCCACCTAATCCTGAATTCTATTATTCTGCCCACAGAGGTCCACGGAAGTCCATGTAAGCAATAGATTCCAAAATGATTACTTTCCAGGGATCCTAAGTGCCACCATTGTGGAGTCACCTATGTGCATATGGAGGCATACAGGCTATACATTTTTAACTGTAGCCTCAATGGCATCAATCAAGGAAGTTATCTAAATGATTATTGACTAAGCATTTTCCATGTAATTAATCCAACCACATCACTTCTGGCCTTTCTTGCCATATAGGAATAGCACAGATAAGGAAAGTCTATCCCAATAATATCATTTTGTTCATTCCAAAGGAAAATACTGACCTGGGGGCCAGGAGGTCCTGGAGGGCATATAGATTCTATACATGGAGGCTGTGTTATCTGAAGTTCTTGACATAAATATTTCATATCCAGTGATAACAACATCTAGGAAAACAAATAAACAAATCAGATATTTATCAACTATCTATATCAAGTAGCCCACTTTCACCCAATATATTTATTCATTTTTATTATTTATTCCAGAGCACTATTGCACAAAGATTTCTAAGACTACATGAATGATTAGATTACTATATACAGGCAGTTCCCAAGTTATAAACAAGATAGGTTCTGTAAATTTGTTCTTAAGTTGAATTTGGATGTAAGTCGGAACATGTACATTTTTAAGTGCAACTCCATATTATATACAGGGTTAGTCAAAATGAATAGGCCAATAAGAAAATTAATTTTAGACGAATGTATGTTTATTGTAACCAAACTACAGCTACGTAGCGACAGATAAACTATCAAAGTTTTGTCTCACCTTCAGAGATGTTCGATATGGGCGCCCCGTGTGACACGGCAGATGTCCAAGCGGTAGTCCAGTTCATTCCACATCCGTTGCAGCACATCCGACGTAATGGCATCGAATGCAGCAACGTCTGGGAAGGTGTTCGTTGAGGTCCTAACCCTAACCCTAACCCTAACCTATCCCTAACCCTAACCCTAACCCTAACCCTTGAAATTCTCGCTGGACCGTAATTACTGACATTGTTTTAGCAAATGTCATCACACAAAACGCCTTCTCTTTGCTTGATTCCGCCATTTTGAAAACAGCGACCCCTAGCGACGCCTAGCGGCATTAACGTACATGTGTGTTGCTCAAAAAAAACTTTGATAGTTTATCTGTCGCTACGTAGCTGTGGTTTGGTTACAGTAAACATACATTCGTCTAAAATTAATTTTCTTATTGGCCTATTCATTTTGACTAACCCTGTATATATATATATATATATATATATATATATATATATATATTTGGATAGCATAGAGAAGGGTTAACACCCCTGTGATGTTTGCTTTGCTGTCTGTGCCCCTGTTCAGAAGATTTCACCTCACTTTCTGTCCCTGTGATAATTGAATTTGAAAAAATTGACTTGTGCAAACAAGGATTTGTGGGAAAGCTTTAGCTGAGACACCTTTCCCCAATGATAACTCTTGAATTTCCCTTCCTAGGGATAGATTTCTTTCACTTCCTGTTGTCTCATGCCCATTCTTAAATATGAGTCATTTATAAGTCAGATGTTTGTAACTCAGGGACTACTTGTATACTGAGTATAAGCCAAACTCACATATAGGCTGAGGGCAGATTTTTGGGGCCAAAATCATGGATTTTGGTATGACTCTTCAATAGGCTTATTAGAAGGCAGTTAAAGGACAAGACATCAGGCCTTTCTTGCACAATTGAGTTGAATGGTAAGTGAAGAAATAGCAGAGATCCCAAGGAATATTTGTCCATAGCCACCTGCTTCTCCCCCTCTCCTCCTTCCCAATTTCTCTGAGAAAACATGCAGATCAGGTGCAGTTTCGGAAGAGAAGAAAAAGACAATATGAGACAAGCTATCAGCAGCTTCTTGAGCAATGGTGATAGAAGCAGGGGTAGAAGGGAATCAATCTGGATGGTGAGTGAATAAATAAATACCAGTGGTGTTGCTGAAATCTCAACTTTTGCCTGCCTGCTCCAGCTCAACTTTGCACACACAACAGCCACCTCAGTTATTCATATTCAGCAGGAGCCCCCGGTGGCACAATGGGTTAAACCCTTGTGCTGGCAGGACTGCTGACCAAAAGGTTGGGGGTTTGAATCCGTGAGACAGGGTGAGCTCCCTTCTGTCAGCTCCAGCTTTTCATGCAGGGACATGAAATATGCCTCCCACAGGATAGTAAAATATCTGGGTGTCCCCTGGGTAACGTCCTTGCAGACAGCCAATTCTCTGACACCAGAAGTGACTTCCAGTTTCCCAAGTCATCCCTGACACGAAAAAGCAGCATCTCTCTCTTGCTTCTTCTCTTTTCCCCCCACAATTTCTCAGGAAGCAAACAGGACAGCTTCAACCAGGGAAAGCAGGCAAGATGGGATAATCACAGCCAGTCCAATTCCTCAAGAGACTGATTTTTTTTGGCATGCTTCCTCCTGCTCTGCCACCTGCAGCTGGCCTGCTGGTTTTCTCAGAATCACTGGGGAGGAGGAAGAGACAAGCAGGCTGCTTGCGGGCAACCACAGGTGTGCAACAATCCATTTGGGAGAGCCTACTGCAAAAGAAGTGCTGAGATCTTTCTGCCAAGGAAAGTTAATGTGAAATAATCACTGCCATCGCTATCTCCAGGCATTCAAAAAGGCGAGAGCACAGATAGGTACCATTTTGATCCAAGTATAAATCGGCTCCTGTTTTGGGGGTCAATTTTTTTGGCATAAATTGTTCAACATATAAACAAATATATATGGTATTAATGATTACTAGCCATAATCATTATGTACTACCTCCATAGACATAGGAGAAGAAATGGACATACATATGTTTAGACCAAAGCTATCTCAGGTCCGGCACTGCCAAGTTTTCTTCTCAATATGTGAAGGGCTAGCACCATAATTGTACTTGCTGGCTACTTTATTTTCTAGAAATTTGTCATGGACTGGCAGCCAATAACTTGCAGATTGCCACCAATCTACAGACCATCACTTTGAGGAACACAGATCTAAAGGCCATTGTCTAACCTACAGTGTCATTCACTCCAAACAGCACTGAAGTAGGAAATCTGATTACTTCCCAGTTGGTACTAATTTGAGAGGTGGATTGAAAACAACTGGAAATGTGTGGAGATGGCCAGAAGTACCCACAACATTGTTTGTGACATGTTATTATTTGGGGGCAAATATTGGGGAACATGCCTCCTCAAAACCCCATCAAAAGATACTGTTCCCTCCCAACCCCCTGCAACAGTGATCACTAGTTGATGGCAAAGACCTGATGGAGATGACTGTTTTAGGTTTAGTTCTGATTCAGTAGAGGGTGACCTTGGGCAAGTCACAGTCCTTCAGCCTCAAGGGATGGCAATGGCCAAACTCTTCTGAACAAATCTGGACTAATCGGTTCACCATAATCAGAAACAAAAATATTTGAAAGCACACAAAAATAACAAATCATATACCTCAAAGTTCTATCTGTGAGTTACGCTTCCTAGGTTGGGGGATAGAATGACTGGTAAATCTTTGACACAAAACCTACAGCAGAATGGCAATGCACAAGTGCTGGGAGAAAGCTTTTACCTTCAGAAGAAACAACAAACTTAAAATGATGTATCTAACACAATAAAAAGGAGGGCATATTGCAAGCACTTGCTTTGACCTTGGAAGTATAGTCTCAAAACTTCGGATTACAACAAAAAAAATTAATGTTTCCAGGTTAATTTAGTTGATCAAAATTTTGAACCTTTTAAAATATATGAGCCTTTTAAATAAATAGATTATTTAACTACACACCAGGAGTATCAAAATCTAAAGACTTGTACATATGTTAGATAAAATGCAAAATCTGATTCACCCAGAGACAGACAAACCCTAATGACTTCTCTCTAGTCGTATTAGACATGAGACATGGAGGACAAGGTGGTTGTTTTCTTTTTCTTTTATATGTAGCCTTGCTCTGTATTGTGCAATTGTGCACAATTGCAATTGTAATAAAATAAAAATAATAAGGAACAGCAGTAATAGAGGAAGGCAGGATTATGAGGGACTATGGAACCACAATTGCAGGGCCCCAGACTGAAAAATTGGTGTAACTACACTACTGAAGGTGCTCAGTGAGATACATATTCACTATCAATGATAATACGACTGTAGTGGAATAGTAGGTTTGTATGATAAAGTCCTAAGATTTAGCAGATAGGAGTCTTATAAGCTATGATCCATTCCCAATATAGTCTCTGCAGTCCTTAATAAATCACAACTCCTGTCACCATCGTGGTTTCTTAGAAGTACCTTAGGAAGGATAAACTGTACTTGTTATCGGGAACAGAAATGCTTGAAGCAATACTTACAGAATTCCATCCCTGCTTGAAGTTTGGTGGAGGAAATAATGGAGGAGGGGGAGGTGGGGGTGGTGGAGGAGGAAGGGCCAAGAGAGAGCATGCTCTGTGATTATTAATTCTTTTCTTCTGGTCCAGGCAAGGGAGGGCTGTTGAAAAGAAAAGAAACGTATTATTTACAGGTTGAAAATTAATTCAGAAAGGATCACTGATTATGGAGCAAGAAATATATTCATAATAAATTGCTGTTGTGCGCCTTCAAGTCATTTCTGAATTACGCTGTTCCTAAGGCGAGCCTATCACCGTTTGTTTTGGTTTTTTTTGAGGGGGGGGGCAAATTGAGGCAGTAAGGGGTATGAAATTTGTGAAGAGCAATACATGGCCCCTTTTCTCTCCTTAAGTCAATTTTTGCTAATTATATCCCAGCCTGCTCATATGGAAGTAGTAAAACTGGAGCGAATCAGGTCAACCTACTGCATGGTAGAAATAGTCGACTGGGATAAAGTATATTGTATCATCACAACCACAAACAAAAATATCCAGTCACATAACACTATACAGTATAACCCTCATATTTGTGGGGAATACATTCCAAAATCCATGGATTTCAGAAGCTATAGATGATAGCAAATCCTGCAGAAACATACCACAGAATACCATTAGAGAGGTCCACAAACACTTCTGTTTGGTCTGGAAGTGAATCATCAAAACACTTTAGAGGAATCAGAGAGGCCCACAAATACACTCTAGAATCTTTCCCATGGCCACTATTAGCCATCTCCCAATCCCAGAGATCATCCAAGGCTTCAACAGCATCACCTTCTGGGTCAACAAGAAACTCTCCAAAAGCCATCACAAATTCATTTGGATCCATAATCCTCCTTAACTGGCCCTCCATTTCTGCAGAGTCTCTGAGCTCCAGTGGTTCTAATTTTTACCAGGTACTGATCTAGGCACAACAACAAAACTACAGGAAGTTCATCCATACCCAAGTTCCTCATCATCATCCCATCTTAGGTCCAGAGTATCTAAATATACCTACATAAACTGAAATTCAAAAAATTCTACATGATGTCAAGAACACACAATGAAATCTGAAGATGTTTTAGATTTGTTTGAGTATCCAATGTCTCCTACAGATAGGCAGGAAGAAGATGTTGTGTGTTTTCGGTTTACAGGTTGTTGCTGCTATTGTATTGCCACACATCCAGGATGTCTGGCAATATCCAGCATCAGCTGCAACACTTTATTCAAGTGTGTTTCTTTTAATTCCAAGATACCAGAATGACAACAACAAAATGCTTCTCCTTTCCTCTATTTGTTTCTGGGTTTTTTATTCAATGGCATAGTGTATCAGTGAAATTGAATTTTTGCACTGTATCACTATAGCAAAATATTATTTAATTCAAAAAGTAAAAAACCACAGGGCCAAGGAATCAAGCTGTGCCCCAGTCTTTGTAACAACCCTTGTGCCAGTTCAAAAGACTGCTACAAAACAAACTTCTCAGGCCTGGTTTTTCCATTACATAGGCAATTTCCCAAGTGGAATTTAGGGAGCAGTAAAGGAACATAGCTATGTGGGGCACATAGCTTTTTATATCCTTCCTGCTTCCTTCAGAAGGATGCTGCACTTTTGCTAGTATCAATGTAAGATTCAGCTGGCAGTAGTGTTATTCCCGATGCATCATTCTACTGGTAACTTGTTACATCCAAGCTCTGAGGCAAGGATGTCACATTGGAAAAAACAACAACACACTTATGGTAGCAATATGATTGTCAGTGAGCATTCACCATATCTGAAATATTGCTAACCACACTAGGTTGAGCCAGAGTAAGTCTTGACTCCTGGAGCAGGAATCCTATGATCCCTGTATCATTCTTGAAACCTTCCATGTTTCAACCTTTTCTTTAAAGTACGAGAATCACATCATTGGACACCTCTGTGTGTATTTATTATCTAAAAGAGGGGTGGGCAATTGTGTAGCCCCCCCCCCCCCGAGGACCACACCATCCACCACCATCCAGGCCTTTCTTGAAGCACCACACCATCAACCACTCCCACTCCTGCCAAAAACCCTTTCCCATTTATGCCCTGAAATGCTCCCAAACACTGGAAGACACATTGGAGTCTATATGTGGTAAATGGGCTGTACCTTGCCCACATTTGTTTTTAAACAAGGTGCTTGATCCTAGTCTTTTTTCCCCCAAAAAGATCTCTCCAAATAATTTCTGAGACACTGGAAATGATTAATTTAAGCTTAATTTTGTATGTTTTTAAGGCATTGAATAATTGCCATATGTAAGCCACCCAGAGAAAGGCGGGTTATAATTAGGACAAATAAATAAATAAATAAATAAATAAATATGGCCTATGACGGACCATATAAATAATTGTATAAGGTCTTGATTTCTCTCTCTTCCCATTTTCTCTCTTTGTCCTCACCTTACTTCAGTTGGTTAAAAAATGAGCACAATAACTATTTTCGCTTTGCCATCTAAGTCCACTGCTTCTACACACCTAAACTTAGCCTTCTTCTCAATCCACGTTCACAAAATTACAAATCTTGCACTTCTAAACTGGATGCCTAGGATTGTTTCCCTTTTTCCAGTACTGGACCTTGTGTGAAAACATCATCATTAACATATCTATTGAATAGAAGTCAAATCCTCCCACCTGTCCAAAAAAAACAAAAAACAACTAGCAACCTGTGACCTGGCATGGGAGACTCTGGACACTCAAAGAAGAATGCAGACAAGTATCCAAGTTTAAGTTTCATAGAGTCTTAAGACAAATGACCAGCTGCTATTAAGAGCCCATAAAATAATTGAACTGTTATTCATCCCTTGGGCCTTATTCATGTATTCAATATAGTCTGTGTTTCCCAGCTTGCTTGCCTATGGCTCAATACCAACTCCAGGATTCCCCTGCCTAGAAAAGCTGCCTTTCCCTTGGATGCGGCCCCAACGTCCTCACAAACTATGTAGAACCACACTCAGTTTACTAATAGGTACTAAGGTTACATGGAGGACAACAGTTCATGGGTGGTAGATTTTACTATGAGTTTTGAAGTATTATCTTTACTATTAAAGCAAGTTTATTTGAGAACGACTTCTTTGGGAAAGAAAGAAAAAACCCTAAATGAATAAACCAAAAAGACAACCATCAGTCATACTGTCTGTTTCGTAACTTGGCCAACTTAGCACAAAGTGAGACCACCCATCCGGGCAGTAGGGCATGAGATGAATACACTCCAACAAAAATCAGACATATGTGACCAAGCAAGATCAGAGTGTGGCCAAATGGACAAAATTATCAATGAATAACAACACACAAGCTAGGAGAGATTGATACAGTTTGGTTTTGCTTGAGTTCACAGAGAAATGCAAGCTTCTGCCCACTCATCTTTTTTGCTGAGTTGACAACGAATTGCTAGAGTACTTCTAACCCAGTGGTTCTCAAGATTAATTACAAAATGTATTAATGAGGAAGAACACACAAACAAGGAGAAGCTGGACTAGTTTATTTTTGCATGAAAGTAATGGGAATGGCAAGATTTTGCCTTGCTGCATTAGTTGAGTACAAGTTACTTTTGAATGGTGCACAAATTTTGCAGAAACTCGTTAGAGTAAAGGAGGAAAGTTGGGGGACAAAGGGGCTAGGAAAAGTTTAAAGCAGCTGAAAAGTGGATGAATGAGAACTGTCCCTGCCAAACCATACAGCTGGAAGCTATGGTACATTAAAGGAGTTCGCTTTACCCAAAGTGCTCTTACTGGAATTAATAGGGCTTACATAATAGTTACAACTTAATGTAATTCCTATTATTGCAATGGGCATTGGTCTACCCTGTGATGAACTAACACTGGAGTACAGTGATATCTTGACTTAAGAGTTTAATTTGTTCTGTGAGCTCTTAACTCAAAACTCTCTTATCTCAAAGCAAATTTGCCCATTGAAATGCTATGAATTTGTTTCCCCCTACTTGCCCTCCCCCATTTTTATATGTGTTTTTAAATAAGAAAATGTATTTTATAAATTGTACTTTATAAACAACAAACAATGTATAAACACACATTCACATGGAACAATAAAAAGATCAATTTTAAAATGGTAAAAGCACAAAACTGTGGCAAGGAAACACAATGGAGGCAACAAAATGTGCGTTGGCCAGTGTAACAGCAAGGCAAAACATGCACATTCACATGGAAGAATAAAAAAGAAAGATCAACTTTAAAATGATAGAAGCACAAAGTTGTGGCAAGGAAGCACAAAACACAAAGTGAAGAGGCAGAAGCATCATTTTCTTCATACTGTCCTGATTCCAGCCTCCCTCCCTCTCTTCCTCTCTCTTCCTCCCTCTCTTCATAAAATCAAATATACCAAGAATAAAACCCACACAAAATCAACTAACCCGAACTTCCTCAAAATAGATAAAAGCAAAGCTGACAGCAATCTCCCAAAGCAGACAAGAGCATGAGGCCTGGAAGCACAAGGCACAGAGGTGGCTCCCTTGAAGCCCTACAGCCATGTACTTTTGTATTAGCACTCTCTCTGCTGCTAGCTCTTAACTCAAAATGCTGCTCTTATGTCAAAGCAAAACCTTGGCTGAGCAACAGCTCTTAACTCAAAAAGCTCTTAATATGATGGTCTTATATTATGATCTACGTTAGTAGATTATTAGTCCTAACAATAAATCCATTGAATTAACTGGATTTAAATATGTAGTGACATTCCAGGTTGTCACTGATCTTATTGATTTACTCTGCCGGAGACAATAATGGGATTTAGATCTTTACAAATACTTGGTTTGTTTAGCAATCTACATGTTGAGGGATCAGGCCTAGCAGTACATGTTTGGGAAACAGCATAATTTAAAGGGGGGAATTGATCATTATCCTAATCCACATTCAAAACGTAGTTTTGCCCCATTTTGTCAGATGCTTTTAATATTTGAAGCTTTTTGTATAGCAGAGGGTAGGACTGGATGGCCCTTGTGGTCTCTTCCAATTCTATCATTTTATGATTCCAATACACTTGTTCTGTAATATAACTCATTATACAGCAAATTCTTCATTAATACCTATCCCCTCCCCCCTACAACTCAGTAGCATAAATCCTTATTTTGACTGACTAGATAACATAGGTCAAAGCAACATGCATCATGGGATTTAGAAATTAAGCACCCACAACACTCATCCAGATACAGTACCAGTAACAGCGATATATTTAGAAAGAGATGTCCCCTGAAGAAAAAATATATTGGAAGAAGCATCTGCAGATATTCACACCTCCTGATCCGTTACTACCAACTGTTGTTTGTTGCAATATAACTACATGAAAATACAGAATCACAGCCACGTGTATCCCGTAATGCAATACCCTGCAGCATTTCCTCTAAAAATGATGTTTCAGCACCAAGAAAATCCGGTTGGCTGTAGGTGACAGAATCATTCACTATTTCTAGGAGCACCATGGTCATATGTTACTTAGAAGGTCAAATTGGGCTAAAGACATAATACGTTATAACTCACATACTTATTTAAAGCAACATACTAATGGTCATTCCTCATTGCGATTCCATATACATCAATGATTTGATGGCTTTGATATTATTTTCTTCTATTGCCTACATATAATGCTTTCGGATTCTTGGTTGATGCCATGTGCTGCCACAGGGAAGTATATGGGAACAAGAATAAAAGGACATTTATATCCACTCATTTTTAAATCTATCTGAAAAATAGCTGAGAGAGTACTGTCATAATGACAGGTAATACAAATAATCATTCAGGGATGGTATAGTTGTAGGGTAGCAGTTTAGGATCATCCAGGATCCAGCTCATTCACTGCTGATGTCATTAGATATTATGTGTTAAGGAACAACAGTAATGTTCACAACTTGTCATATATCCTCTACTACACAGATAAAACAAATTCTCTTGTTTGGAAATTGAGACAGAATTCCTAGTTAAGGAGATGTTCCCAGATCAATATGAAAAGAGAGAATGGTTCCTTCTACTTATTTAGGGAGTTGGGATAACAACTGGGAGAAAGGAAGCTAACAAAGTAGATATATGGCCGATTTTAAATCTGCAACTATTGCTGTGTTTTATTGAATATCTTATTGATATTAGTAGGGGGTTTATATGCTGTTTTACATATACATTTACATTATGTAAATGCAATTTTTATGCAATAAAACATCTTTAATATTTTATAAATGTTTATGTAATTTATTGTATATTGTGCATTTTGCTGCACTATTACGTGCCTTTGTAAGCTGCCCCGAGTCCCTCTGGAAGATGGTGGTGATATATGTGTTTTTTTATTATAATTATTACACATTTCTAGCCCACAAGAGGCTCTGCAAGTTGCAGGAACAAATCAATTAAGCTTTGCAAATTGTAAACACATAGATGACAACTTCTCCCAAAAAACTTGGCAAATTGCAGCAGCAATTTGGTTAAGAATTAGAAATTGCAGAAAATTAGTGTTCTGTTAGTTGAATTGGAGATTTGGATAGAGTCCTCTCCTTTTCCATAAAGTTCACCCCCTCCCCCTCTCCCCCCCCCACTCGCCCCCGAAACTGGAGAAAGTGTCTCCTTGTCTTCTCCCTAGAGATGTCCCATGAAAAATAGAGACTCAGGACCCAGCGTTGAGATCTGACTATATGATTGTTTAATATTACTAGAACCAGTGGTTCTCAACCTGTGGGTCCCCAGGTGTTTTGACCTACAACTCCCAGAAATCCCAGCCACTTTACTAGTTGTTAGGATTCCTGGGAGTTGTAGGCCAAAACACCTGGGAATCCACAGGTTGAGAAACACTGTCTTAGAGAAAGGCAATGGCAATCCCCCTCTGAACAAATCTTGCCAAGAAAACTTCATAGTTGGGTTGCCATAGGTTAGTTTGAAGGCAAAGAACAATTTTAAATCAAATTAGGATTAACAATTGTATTTAGGTCTGAATAGGTTTAATATTGTTCCATTGGATTGCAATCTTATGAGGGACTATGTCTCACAGAACTTAGTATTTCTTAATCAAGATGTATAGGATAAGGCTAGCTGTCTCTCCAACCATATTGTAAAGAGATTCCATTTATATCCAGGAAAGAAGATACAGGATTGCAGCTCAAATTGTGTTTCCCTCAAGCAGAGATTATTGTATCCTGGAATAGAAAAGTTCTCTGAATGAGCATAAGAAGGAGGAGATGTGGTGGCCTGAAATAACTTTTCCACTCTGAAATATAACTGATGCAGATGTAAAAATGCAACAGCCTAAAAAAAGCCTTATTGGTTTATTTTCACCCTAGTACATGTGTTCCATATTTGTTTTGCTTCATATAGATCTATAATGAAGTACCACATATGTCCACCTAAATATATTCACTCACAATCAAATACATCACTAGTCTTGTTGAAATATCGCTGCCACTAAATTCCATTGCAGTTTCAAAAGATCATTAATTTCAATGCTTAAAAATGATACAATAGGTTGTTGTAGGTTTCTCAGGCTATATGGCCATGTTCTAGAAGCATTCTCTCCTGATGTTTTGCCTGCATCTATGGCAGGCATCCTCAGAGGTTTTGAGGTCTGTTAGAAACTAGAAAATTTGGGTTTATATATCTGTGGAAAATCCAGGGTGGGAGAAAGAATTCTTGTCTGTTGGAGCTAGGTGTGAATGTTTTAATTGGCCGCCTTGATTAGTATTTGATGGCCTGACAGTTTTTAGGTGTGCCTTGTTACTGCCTGGGGAATCCTTTGTTGAGAGGTGATTATATGTTCCTATTGTTTCTTGTCTGGAGTTCCCCTGTGTTTGAGTTTTGTTCTTTATTCACTGTTATAATTTTAATACTGGTAGCCAGATATTGGTCAGTTTCTTGGTTTCTTCCTTTCTGTTGAAATCGTCCACGGGCTTGTGGATTTCAATGGCTTCTCTGTGTAGCCTGGCATGGTAGTTGTTAGAGTGGTCCAGCATTTCAGTGATCTCAAATAATATGCTGTGTCCAGGTTGGTTCATTTGGTGCTCTGCTATGGCTTACTTCTCTGGTTGAAGTAGTCTGCCATCAAATGCTAATCGATGCTGTCAGGCCATCAAATGCTAATAAAGGTGGCCAATTAAAACACTGACACCTAGCTCCAACAGTTAAGAGTTCTTTCTCCCACCCTGGACTTTTCACAGATATATAAACCCAAACTTCCTATTTTCCAACAGACCTCACAATCTCTGAGGATGCCTGCCATAGATGCAGGCGAAACGTCAGGAAAGAATGCTTCCGGAACATGGCCATACAGCCCAAAAAACCTACAACAACCCAGTGATTCCGGTAATGAAAGCCTTCGATAATACAATGATACAATGCTTTAAAATGATCCTATGCATCAGTACTAGTTGTCAATAGGCCAGCAAACAGTACAGGTACGTACTAACCAAAGCAATTCAGGTTATTTCCCCATACAAGTAAAAATGCTGAAATAATAAATACAAGACCAACTGCTTCACAATAAGGTTAGTGCTACCTATCAAAATCAGTAGTTTTAGATAACCAAGACAATGTATTTGTTAACTTTAGCTTTAAAATATACACAAATAACATCCATATTTCAAATGTACACATTTAAAATGAGATTATAGAAAAACATGACTGGATAGGACAAATGTCAAAAACAGGAAGCTGAATTTAAAATTTCAAAAAAATATATTCTAGTAACACTTGAATTCTACATTTTTGTTTAGATGCTACAAAACAAACTTTCTCATAGTTTTGTGTTCTGTTTTGTTTTTTGAAAGGTGGACGATAGATATTTCCTATCCTTGGTGTCCTTTCCATGGCACACAGCTGAAGGAATGCCTGCTGGATTAGAAGGGAAAATAGGATTCCCTGTACTTAGACTATTCATGCCCTTTCCCTTGTGCCGAGGAGGGTTTTTCCATGCAGGGAGCTTTTGTTTGCTATGAAAGCCATCTAGATGTCTATTAGTGGCATTAACAAGCCCAGAGGATGTTTACTTTGCTAGCATCCAATTCAAGTCCTGCAACACTGTTGGAGATCGGGGATATATTGGTGATGATGGCTCTAACACTGTGATTCATCTCCTCTCTGATTTATTTCATTTATTGTCCATGTAAACTACAGATATAACAGGCAACATCTTCTGCTTAAATGGGGAAGTTTAGTGTTCACAAAAACATGGTATGTGAAAGGGGACTTGCTAGTCTCCTCCTAACATAGGAATAATCAAACACAAGGTAAAGAGATATGAAGAGAGGGGGAAATACTGTGCCCCAGCTCTCAAAATTCATCATGCATTTACAATCAAGAGTTTTTGTTGTTTTGAAATCCTATATGGTTCTAAGGGGTAGAATGGCAGGAACATTTAACAATACTTAAGAGTAACATAATACTGAGAGACAAAGCAAACTTATCCTTTACCTGCAGGTATTGAGAAGACACTGTCAACAAAAGAATTCTGAGATAAAGCAAAGCAGAAAAGGAGTTGAAGATAAAATCCCAAGGCAACCCTGCTGAGCATGACCATGCTGGCTGGAAAGCTGTCCAAATCCACTGTTGTGTAGGGTGTCGATCCCTTGTCCACTGCCTTTTCTGCTTGAGTGCTTTGCTTGCTTGCTTGCTCCCGTTCACTCTCTCCCTGGTTGGGTATGTTTATGTGTGCATGTCTCGCTCCTCTGTCTCTCTCACTCTGAGCTTTGGAAAGAAAGAATGCCAACCATTTCCCATTAAATGTTCTCCTTACACTAGACTGAGCTATATTTAACCCAAGCCCTGGATCAGATGCCCTCACTACAAATGCCATCTATTAAAATATAGCTGGAGAACTAATGAAGAGAGGAAGGGGCAATTTAAAGTTGAATGGGGAAGTAGATCTCTGGCTGATAATGGCAAACACTGAGATAGCTCCACTCATGAATAAAGATTTTCTCTTCCTCCATCCCCCAATCTCCACTAATGGTTCCAAGTAACAGATTATGGAGATAGAACTCTCATGTTTCTACATAATGCATCCTATCTCTATAATTCATTCATTTATTTATCGTGTCAGGAGCGAACCAAAACAGTTGTATTGCATTAAAAAAACAGACAAACAAACAAACAAAACACAAAATTTGCAGACTTGGTATTCTATTAAATGTCCTTTGACCAACAGCTGGCCACTTGGAGTGCCTCTGGTGTTGCCACAAGAAGGTCCTCCATTGTGCATGTAGCAGGGCTCAGGTTGCATTGCAGTAGGTGGTGATCTGTGGTTTCCTCTTCTCCACACTCACATGTCGTGGATTCCACTTTGTAGACCCATTTCTTAAGGTTGGCTCTGCATCTCGTGGTGCCAGAGCGCAGTCTGTTCAGCACCTTCCAAGTCGCCCAGTTTTCTGTGTACCCAGGATGGAGTCTCACATTTGGTATCAGCCATTGATTGAGATTCTGGGTTTGAGCCTGCCACTTTTGGACTCTCGCTTGCTGAGGTGTTCCAGCGAGTGTCTCTGTAGATCTTAGAAAACTATTTCTTGATTTAAGTCATTGGAGTGCAAACAGAGGATGGGGTAGAGATGTCACTGCCTTGGTCCTTTCATTATTGGTTGCTACTTCCCGGAGGATGTCAGGTGGTGCAATACCAGTTAAACAGTGTAATTTCTCCAGTGGTGTAGGGCGCAGACACCCCGTGATAATGTGGCATGTCTCATTAAGAGTCACATCCACTCTTTTAGCATGGTGAGATGCGTCCAAATGTATAATTCATTTGAAGACATTGTAATGCTTAACTGACAGAGTGTGGATTGTTGTCATGTGCCTCCAAGTTGCTTTAACTTATGGCAACCCAAAGGTGACTTTATCATGGGGTTTTCTGGAACTGAAAGCATATGACTAGCTCAAGATCACCAAGTGGGTTTCCATGGCCAAGTGGGGAAACAAATCCTGGTCTCCAGAGTTGTGATGCAATGCTCAAACCACTACACCACACTGGCTCTCCAAGCATGGATAAAGTGCAAATGAATATCTATATCAATACAGTCAGAACAATAATGAGGGAATTTAAATACAAAACTGTATCATCCATTATCCATACTTGAATAAAAGTGCACTGGACCTTTAGTAGCTGAAGAGATAAAAAGTGCTAGAGTTTTCAAATTTTCCATACCTTTCTACATTGTCTCATTTTTTGAGAAATATTTGAACACCTACAATGAACACCAGCCAGAGGAAGGGATTCTGAAGTATACTCCATGGTACATTATTTTCACATATAGTACAGGTCAAACCACTGACCTTTATATAATAGGAATTTACCTTTAGACCACATCAAAGCACTTTTATGCAACTATGCATTGAAGGAAAAGACTGGCAATGGGAAATGAGCTTTTAGAGACATTGTGAGAGTCTGTGCTTTCAAGACACCTGTTGATATATGGTGACACCTTGAATTTCACAGGCAAGAAATATTCAGAGTTCTATCTTTTGAAATATCCCATGTAGAACAGTGGTTCCTAACTTGTGGTCTGTGGAGAACTAAAATATGGCCTCACCATTACTACAAGATCGACTGGTCTCGCGAAACCCTCTTATAGTGCCGAGGCAATGGGGATGTCGAGAGGGGAGAGGCTGGCTACCCACGAAAGACACGACAACAAGCCTCCCGAGTGCTGCTTCTCCTCCCACTCCCTCCCCCTGAGCAGAGGCGGTCCACGTGGCACCTGGAATCAGGGGCACCTTGATGTCTTCATTTTTAGACCTCTTTCTGGGGTTACTTGGGGTGCTGATTCAGAAAATTGCAGTGGATAGACCAAATCAGCTCTAGATTATTAAATATTGTTTTCTGTGGATGAGCAGATGGCAACTACTGGGTGGAATATGTTCTGTATCAAAAAATAGAGCTGATGTGGTCTATCCAATGCAATTTTCTGAATCAGCACCCCCAAATAACCAAACCTAATCTAAAGTTGACCAAAAGCCGATTCGTAATCCTTTTGGTACTAATGTTGGAGAGTGGTCCCTGGTCAAAAAAAGGTTGGGAACCACTGCTGTAGAATCCTGTATTCATTGGTAGTCTCCCAGCCAAAAACTAACCAGGCTGACCCTACTTAGTTTCCAAAATCAGATAGGATCTGATACCTTAGTGTATTAATTTGTCCTTGTTGAGGAAAACCAAATGACTTAAGGAACACCATTCTATTTCTTTGTCTATATAGCAATGATGCAAAACTCTGAAGAAATTTTTGCCAAGAAAACCTTGTGATAAGGTCACTTTATGATTGCCGTACACTAGAAATGACTTTAAGGTACACCAAAACAGATAGGTATAGGATTAGCTGTCCTAGGCAGCATATCCAGTGGTAAAGGATGCTGGTAGGTGTAGTCCAATAACATCTGGAGATCAGCATAGTTCCCATCATGAGTCTGTGCCTGGAAATCTATCCTAGTCTCTTAGAAATATATTTTATGTTGATGATTTGAGTGTGTTGATCTGTATGGAGGAAAGGACTCATTTTTAGACCAATGATAAATTGTTAGTAGACATACTAGACCAACTAGATATATTGAAGAGTTTTGTATATAAATAAAACAATATGCATAACATTGGTCAACACACATTTTGGTGCCACAAATATAATCAGATCTTTATCTGGTTATATTTCACTTACTTATACAATTTTTCCCCATCGGCTCTAGTTTTTGAAATACAGAACATATGCCATCTAGCAGTCTCCATCCAATTGCCCATTAAAACAAACACCATGATAACCATTTTTAAGAAACTAGAGGTGGTGCGGTTTGTCCAATGCAATTTCAGAATCAGCATCCCACGTAATCCAGGAAGAGGCCTAAAAATCAAGACATCAAGATATTTTTGTTGGGCTGTGTGATCAATCTGAAGTCTGGTAGCATAAAGGAACCTTCTTCTGCCCTTTTTGCTTTGACTCGATAGCTTTTTCATCTGTGGGTTGCTTTTTGTTTGTTTATTTGTTTGTTTTGGTCTGCTTGAATGTGAAAGCAGCTGAGAAACATGGGATGGCATTTGCAGTGGGATAGGATAGAGCAGAGATATCAGTTGTCTATTTCAAAACTGAAGTCACACACATGGCTGTCTAAAGGCCATCTTCCTCTCCACAAGAGAGAAGGCACTTAGAGATTAAAATCATCTAGCTGTATTCCTGGCAGCAATATTCCCTCCGCAAGCATACAGCTTTCATTAAACAGCAAGCCTATTACATATTTTTTCAGAGTAGAAAAATTAAGCATTTCAAGCGCAGCAAACCGAATACAATGAAGACATGACTACTAATTCATTCATTTAATAACCAATTAGATCTGCTGTGCAAGCCCTACAAAGGGGGGTGGGGGCGGCGGTCTGAATCATTTAATTGGTATAGAAACTAGCTTAGAAAAATATCATTCCACTTTCATTATAAGTTTTTCAGAATACAGTATTCGTGTCAATGTAATAATTAGTGTTGAACATTTCTTAAAACTCCCCCCCAAAAAAACAGCAAGGACTTATTTTTGCAAATATTTCATTTTTCTCTAGCTCCAGAAGGCAATTAGCTATGGTTCAAATATGTTAAATATTGTGAATATTTCCTCTAAACCTTTGTGAAGGTTTACCTATTGGCCTATTTCGGAGCTTTCAATACCATGATGCTAAGTACAAATCAGCTGCACAGATTGGTAAACATTGCTTTATATTTTGCAAATGTTATGAAATATAATTCCCAAATGTGGTGAATATTTATATATCACAAATATTGATGTGAGGCAAGAGACCGATTTATAGCAGATGTAGATAGCACATGTTTACATTTTAAAACAGATGTCTTCATTACTTGCTTCTCTATTGTTGACAACTTCCACTCACAGACTGCTAATTCACTGGCTAAAGGCTAGAAGCCAATGCAAAGATGAGTACTGCATGTTCTAGTCCATTGAAATCTATAGGCTTAGATTTAGCTTGCTGTTTGCAGGATGGTAGACATCAGTAGTGGTGGTTGCCTCCTATGGCTTTTAATCCAAACTTTAAAGACATTGTATAAACCACTGTGTGCTTACAAATGGTCCCTTACTACAGGAATTTGGCATTTCAGGCCGCAGAAGCACCACCTACTTTTTTTTAAAGGAAGCATTTTTAAAGGAAGCATTACCAAAGAGAGCCCATATGATGTCATTAGACTATGACTTTGGGAATCATAGATCAAATTCCTACTCTGCCATAGAAACCAACTGTGGTGATCTTGGAAAGACACTGTCAGTCTCAGAGAAAGGCAAAGGCAAACCTTCCTTTGAACAAATATGGCCTAGACAACCCATGCTTAAGAGGAATTGTAGGTCGGCAATGTTTGGAGTGATCTATTCTTGTTCTAGGATACTATTGACCATCAGTACCTTAAATTGCTTTCTAAAGGGATTAGATAAATAATTGTACATTACTGTATGATGTAGATTGCCATGTGGAATGTATAGAACACTTCCAAGTATTTGATGCTATTGTTCCATTATAGACTTGTGGTCTAGAACAGACTTCTAGTAGACTATGATGGACATGATAGTGGAAAGAAGGATCAAGGTTTGGGCTGGACTAAATAGCCCATTCATAGACTTTCTAAATGTAACATGAATCCATCAGGGATGCTATGTTTTACTATTTTATATGCATATATTATTATTTATATTTGTAACACACACACAATTATTTATATTTGTATTATACACACCGAGGAGCCCCCGGTGGCACGGTGGGTTAAAGTGCTGAACTTGTTGACCGAAAGGTTGCAGGTTCGAATCCAGGGAGCAGCTTGAGCTTCCACTGTCAGCCTCAGCTTCTGCCAACTTAGCCATTCGAAAACATGCAAATGTGAGTAGGTCAATAGGTTCCGCTCCGGCCGGAAGGTAACAGTGCTCCATGCAGTCATGCTGGCCACATGACCTTGGAGGTGTCTATAGACAACGCCGGCTCTTCGGCTTAGAAATTGAGATGAGCACCATACCCCAGAGTCAGACATGACTGGACTTCATGTCAGGGGAAAACCTTTACCTTTACCTTTAATACACACACACACTATTACTGCTGCTAACAATATCAACAACCAGCCGTCGTAACAATTTCATCCTTAGCTATATACAATTCCATTGCAGATATTGCAAATACTCCCTCAAGCCACCAGAGCCAAAGTGGGGGATTGTGCTGATCTGGAGCACCCCCACATGTAAAGACATTGCCATAAATGTATTATCATAATAAACATTTTGGAAGGAGAAGTATCTATCCACAATGCCAACACTATTACATTAACAACTGAATGTGCTGATGCCATCATTTTGAATAATCACCAGGAGTGGCGTTTTAGAAGAGTTACCTCAGAAGACTTTGGAAGCAAGGCAGCCACATTTAATTTAAAACTAGGAAGAAAATCAATAACAGCTCTTGGATGATAGGAGATTTAATTGGTCTTCTGGAAGCAAGGGCAATTTCTCTTCATAATCTCCAATGAACAAGATAGGGGAAAAAAACACTGGATAGTGTTAAAATGTCAAGAACACAAAAATGCAGTTATATATTTCAGTGCTCCCCCCCACACACACACACAATTTTGGAATGGGGGGTCCTATCCTTTAGGGCAGTAAAGAATAAATCTGCCCCGTCTTCTCTGTGGTAGCCCTTTAAATATTTAAAAAGTGCAATCATTTTACACTCTCAGTCTTATTTTCTTCAGGTTGAACATGCCCAACTCCATCAGCCTTTTCTTTACCTCTTATCCATTCCTTGTATTCCATAACTCTTATTTGAGCCCCCGGTGGCGCAGTGGGTTAAACCCCTGTGCCGGCAGGACTGAAGACCGACAGGTCGCAGGTTCGAATCCGGGGAGAGGCGGATGAGCTCCCTCTATCAGCTCCAGCTCCTCAGGTGGGGACATGAGAGAAGACTCCCACAAGGATGATAAAAACATCAAATCATCTGGGCGTCCCCTGGGCAACGTCGTTGCAGACAGCCAATTCTCTCATACCAGAAGCGACTTGCAGTTTCTCAAGTCGCTCTTGACACGATTTAAAAAAACACTCTTATTGTTCTTGTTGCTTTTTCCAGATCCTATTTCAACTGATCTATATCCTCCCTAAAATGGGGTGCTCAAACACTAAATGTAATACTCCAGATGAGGCCTGACTAGTGCAGAGTATAGTGAGATTATTACTTCCTATGTCTTAGATTAGATGTCACTCATTTTCATCGAGGGGCATGCTAGTCTTATGGCTGCCTTCATTGAATCCATGGACGGAGAATTCATGGATATAAAGTAAAGGTAAAGGTTTCCCCTAACATTAAGTCTAGTCGTGCCTGACTCTGGGGGGTGGAGCTCATTTCCATTTCTAAACTGAAAAGCCCCCATTGTTTGTAGACACCTACAAGGTCATGTGGTCGGCATGACTGCATGGAGCACCGTTACCTTCCCGCCGGAGCGGTACCTATTGATCTACTCACACTTGTATGTTTTTGAACTGCTTGGTTGGCAGAAGCTGGGCCTAACAGCAGGAGCTCTCCCCACTCCCTGGATTTGAATCACCAGCCTTTTGGTCAGCAAGTTCAGCAGCTCAGCGGTTTAATCCAGTGCGCCACCAGGGTGCCCTCTATTTCATGGATATAGAGGGCCAATAATATTTTTTTTTACATAGTTGTCAGTGCTCTTTAGCTTTTACCCAATTTGGGTTCCCAGATGTTATTGACCAACAACTCCAATCATTTTTTATTTTCTGCCATGGGCATTGGGGATAATGGGAATTGCAACCCAACAGCACTTTTGGCTCTGAGATTGGGAAAAGGTGAAAGGACATTTTAAAGCCAAACATCTTACCCACACACCTGGTAACTAAATTCAAGCCCCACTCTCCTATCTCCCTATACATCTCGGGGCGAGCACTGAGATCCTGTGGGGAGACTTTTATCGCTACACGGGCCCCTGCTAACATGCATCTTTGTAGGATGAGGGAGGATCCTTCTCAGGGGGTGGCACTGGCACTCTGGAATTCCCTTCTGGAAGCATTAAGATCTGCCCTGTCCCTGCTGACTTTCCGAGAGGGGCCAAAGACTTTCCTATTTTAGAAGGCTTTTAACCGCAGTCTAATCTTATGATCTCGAGCTGGCTTAATGTTTTAAGGTAAAATTCCTGTATGTTGAAGGGGTTTTATATGGAAGAGGGGTTAATAGCTTATATAGAACATGTGATTTTAAATGTTTTAAACTTTTGTATTGTATGTTTTCAATATGCAAGCCGCTTTGGGTCCACTACAGAGAAAGGTGGGGTAAAAATATCGTAAACAAATAAACAGAACAAACTGGGCCCTTCCAGATATTACTGTATCACAACACACAACACCCATCAGCTCTAGTCACATTTAATGAGGAAGAATGCAGGAGTTGTAGTTCAGGATCTGGAGGGCAGCCTAAAATGAAATGGTGGGCCGGATTCGTTCAGCGGGCCTTGAGTTGGACACATATATCTCAGATACGCTGGATCCATTAATGCTGGGTAAATTTACCTTCTTTGCTGCAACATCATATGTTTGAGTCACGTTCAGTTCATGATTAACAGTAAGTCCCAAATCCCTTTCACATGTACTGCTGTTAGCCAAGTATCCCTCATTTTATAATGTGTGCCTTTGTGGTCTGAGTGTAGAATGTGATTGGCACAATTTAATTGCATTGATGTTTAAACTGAGCATCATTTCGACCACCTCTTGAAACTATGATATGCTCATAGAGATGAGAATAAGCTCAAAAGAAAACTATTTAATATCCTATTGATTTTATTTATTTTTGAAACTGCAGTTTTAAAAAATGACAACAAAGCTAATGCCAGAATTTCATCTTTTTTAATTTGGTATGCAATCTTTATTGTTCCATTTTTAAACTCCTACTGGAATATTTACGAAACCACATATGGAATTGTCAGAAGATTCACCCGCAATTGCAATTACTCTTAACACCCCCCCCCCTCTCACAAAATATATCATTAAACATTTCTATTAAATAAGAAAGTAAAGTTCCCATAACAAATATGAATGAAGGGCGCCCTCTGGTGGACTTGTAGTGTCATTGAATGAACATTTATTACAAAATGATTTTCATAGAGAACCCTGATTTAGAAAATGGACTTCTGTTCGATCAGAAGTTCTCGAGTTGTATAAATATACTATCTGGAATCAAAGATAATTCCTCAAAAATGTATGTACATTATTTTTCTGAATAAGATCTGTATGGGGTCCTAATTCTTTTTAAACTATGTTTTGATAAGGAAGCTTTATAACTGGGATGGACAATTTGCGGCCCTCTAGAAGTTGTCAAACTTCATTTTTCATTAGCACTAAACATAATTAGTTGTAAGGTTTGATGGGGGAGCCACAATCCAACATCTAGAGCAGTGGTTCTCAACCTTCCTAATGCTGCGACTCCTTAATACAATTCCTCATGTTGTGGTGACCCCCAACTATAAAATTATTTTCATTGCTACTTCATAACTTTAATTTTGCTATAGTTATGCATCATAATGTAAATATCTGATATGCAGGATGGATTTTCATTTACTGGACCAAATTTGGCACAAATACCCAATATGCCAAAATTTGAATACTGGTGGGGTTGGGGTGTGTGTTGATTTTGTAATTTGGGAGTTGTAGTTGTTGGGATTTATAGTTCACTTACAATCAAAGGGCATTCTGAAGTCCAACAACAATAGAATTGAACCAAACTTGGCACACAGAACTCCCATGGCCAACAGAAAATACTGGAAGGGTTTGGTGGGCATTGGCCTTGAGTTTTAGAATTGTAGTTCACTTACATCCAGAGAGCACTGTGGACTCAAACAATGATAGATCTGGACCAAACTTTGCACGAATCCTCAATATGCCCAAACGTGAACACTGGTGGAGTTTGGGGAAAATAGACCTTGACCTTTGGTAGTTGTAGTTGCTGGGATTTATAGTTCACCCACAATCGAAGAGCATGCTGAACACTACCAACAATAGAATTGGGCCAAACTTACCACACAGGACCCCCATGACCAACAGAAAATAGTGTGTTTTCTGATGGTCTTTGGTGACCCCTCTGACATCTCCTGCGACCCCCCCAGGACTCCCGACCCCCAGGTTGAGAACACTGATCTAGAGAGTCACACATTGTCTCAGCTGCTTTATTCCACTGCTCTAAAATAACAGAAAAGAAGTTGCACCATAGAATTGGCTCAAAAGGTTAAAAAACAAAGAAAACCCAGAGCTCATAAAAATTGAAAAAACTGTAATGTTATGAGTCTTGATCAACACTCCAGCCAATGCTGAGATGTTTATTTGAACAGTTGAAAAATCAACCAAGAGTTTCAGATTGAAATATTTCCCAATGAAATAAATGGGATTCCAGTGGGAAACTTCAGCAAAATCAAAATAAAAGGTTAAAGACAAAAGGTAAGCAAGATGTATGCCGTTTTGAAGTAGAAAGCTGCTTTTCTCCATGATATTTTTTCAGCTTCTATGAGATAAAAAAAAATCAAAAAAATTTATTTGTCCAAGTTACTAGGACTGAATATCCATTGACTCAATGGACTGTGTATAAATTCAATTTATCAGGTTCTTGCTAACTCAATTAATCTCTCTGGTCTTGGACAAATAGTTTAGACCTTCAAGTGCACATTTCTTTCAAATTTTGTGACAATTATAGTGTGAGTCTCCATTTTAATTTATAGTCATTTATAGACATTTTGCTCATGATTTCCAATCCTCGTACTGCTACATGTTAGACCGGGTCAGCCAATGAAAATCCTGAAAATACAAAAATGAGAAATACTCAACATCTTGGAAGAAGAGGGCAAGAAAAAAATACACAATTTTTAGAAACAAGAAATGTTACATTTCCAATTATAAATAAGTGTGATCATTTGCTTACACATTGGTATGAGAAATTAAGAAGCGAAAGACTCACTTGTTTTTTCCTGTCTGATTGTGGATCAATCATTACATTAATGAGGGAAGGCACATGTTTTTCAGCCAGACTTTTCTTCAGGGCAGCTTGGAGTTCTTCTGGTGTTTGTACAAAATAGCCCTTCCCACCAAATGCAGACACAATTTGCTCATAGTGAGCATTTGGCAACAGAGAAATCGGAGGAACACTGGAATGAAACAAAAAATAGGGTATGGTTTTGCATTGCATACTAAGTGAGCAATGAGACATCACAAAAGGTTGAGCTACTATTTCTGCTAAATCTCTGAATATCATGATCTGCAAGAGTAACTCTATTTTCACAGTACCTTGGAACTTGTTTACTTATGACTTCTTTACTTCAGGCTGAAAAAGCACAGGATATACCAATTATGAACAAAGTGAGCATTTTGGTCTTTTCCAATCCATTTCATAGCTCTTTCAGTTCTTTTTAAAATCATGTCAGGAGTGACTTGAGAAACTACAAGTCCCTTCTGGTGTGAGAGAATTGGCTGTCTGCAGAGATGTTGCCCAGGGCACGCCCAGATGTGTTACCATCCTGTGGGAGGCTTCTCTCATGTCCCTGCAATGGGAAGCTGGAGCTGACAGGTGGGAGCTCACCTTGTCTCGCAGATTCGAATTATCAACCTTCAGGTCAGCTGTTCAGCCGGCACAACGGTTTAACCCATTGCGCCACCGGAGCTACCAGCCCTTTCAGTGACTGCTACAGAGCCTCCAAATGCATAGTTCCTATAGAAATAACTAGATCTCTAGAATATTTAAGTGTTTCACATTAAGAACAAGAGAAAGCACCTCCCAGGAAAAAAGGCAGGATAATTAAGGAGGTAATTGGGCCTCTTCTATGGTACATATCTAAATCTGCAAATGTTTTCTTCTGTGATCATGCGCACACATATTCAATTACCCCTTTCTCTTCCTCTTTCCCTGCAATGACAATTGACTCCAAATCACTTTTGCCAGTAATTTGGAAACAGAGCAAATTTTAGCACTACAGTGTTGACCCACTTCTGCTGGGAACCTTTTTCCTATTTTCTACAAGGACCAAGAATGCCTGTGCTCCTTCCTCATTTCCTCTTAGCTTTTGTATGCTCCTAGAGATGTGAATTTTTTTATCTGTATCTTTTTTAAAGCTTTTGTAAGCCTATTTCAATCCCATAGTTGGAAAAAGCGGGATACAACTAATAGCACAAGGATCAGTGTAAATTAGTCTATTACTTCATTCAGTTTAATGAAATACAATCTAAGTTACTTTATTATATAAAGCTCTGAATATTTTAGAATGGCACATTTTCAACATCAAAAAGTTCGTAATTAAATTAACAAGGGCAGCATGACAAGTACGCACCATGCAGAAGGTTCTCCAAGTTTCAACATCTCTTTCCAAGTCTCTGCATCCAGCCCACTGTATATCCCATTGTTGTTGACTATGATTACAACAATTGGCAAGTTATACCTGTGGCAATTTACAAGGAAGAACAACTTTCAGAATGGTTTCTTGTCTGGAGGAAACATGTGATATGAATAACTTTTTAATAACTTTAAAACATAGGTTCTTTTTATTGCAATTTTCCAGTAAGAGAAAGAGCATCAGAACTTTTACAGAACAGCAATAATACATATCGATTCTATGTAACTACAATGAATCCACAAACAACCTACAGTTACATTGACTAACAAACTAAGGGGAATTACATTTTTACACAGCATTCACATAAGCCATTTACATTCATTGGTCCTCATGCTTTCAAATATTACCATATCCTTTCTCTCACTGTCTCCTGGAGAAGAACATTTCTTAGGCCAAACCTTGCTTTCCATGTAGCCTGCCAACACACCGTTCCAAAACTTCCAAAACACCAAAACACACCCTCTTTCCATAAGAACAATGCCAAGGATCAGATCCCTGTTTTTTGTATAGCAGAAGCCGACTCCAAAATCATGACTCCAAAATTGCACTCCTTTTTCTTTCCTTGAGAAAAGGAAGCAAGTGTCCAGAATCCTGCTTTCCCATAGCAGATCTGACACTCTCCAAAGGTACACCATATCTTTCAAGAGAGTGTGGCAGGTGAACAGAACAGCTGTCTGTCACAATTTTGGATTGTTAGAAGTTCTCTTATATAGCAATATTTCTTGCTGATATTGTTCCAAAATTGTAAATGAACGATAGACGTTTTGTCAGCCTGAAATATCCTGATTTCATCAGTTCCTGACAGATGTTGACTTTTCTTAATTGGTGTTGGTAAACGTAAGGAGCCATAGTATTGACTTCCTTACTTAAAAGAGCCATTGTCTCTGATAATGTAAACAAGTTGTTTTTCACAAAGAGTTCAATGGTTAATCATTTGTCTCTGGTCATCAACATCAGTAGTTCAGCAATTTTTAATTACAGTTCCAGGCCTCAATATTTCAGAATTGTGTCTTCAGCCCAAATTAGGCCCCATTCATACACCTTTCATACAATTCCATTGAAATCATACATCATATTTCACGACATAACACATGGATGTTCGCAGAAAGAGTTTTTAAAAGCTGAACTGGACAAAGGTTTTACCTGCACATAGTCTCCACTTCCATGCCAGAGAAGCCAAAGGCGCTGTCCCCTTCTATGCAGACCACTTGCTGCTCAGGATTATGATCTTTAGTAACCATAGCAGCTGCTATTGCAAAACCCAGTCCAACTCCCATTGTTCCAAAGGTACCAGCATCAAGCCTATGAGAAAGGGAGAAAATGTATTACCTTTCTCTCATCTTTAGAAATTCAGGATACAATACGTATTCATAGAAAGAACTTATTTAAGTGTAGGTTGATAAAAAAGCATACAATGACCATGAATGTTAGATGGAATAAAATTAAGATTCTTAGAATGTGAAACAGCATTGCTTTTCAGAACTTGAATTACCGCTATTTTTAAAATACTGGTACAGCATGTCAAAGTACATGCTAATTACTTGAACTCAACTGCTTTGGTACGTTCACCGTTTCTCTCTTGAGATTTATGCCATAAGAAAAAAAAATAAAAGTATGCAAATAGTATCAACATTTTCATAAGCTTCAGGCAACTAGAAAATGTTCATAAATTCCATTTTTCACTTAGTGAGCCGGAAGCTTGAAAACTATGGGACAATGGCATGGAATTATAAAATATGTACCCTGATCAAAAATAATTAGTAAAAGAGAACTAGATGTTTCCCTACTTTTAAACACCCACAATGTGCATGTATTATATAATACACAACATACAGAAAATATTTTTTTTGTTACCCTATATTTTATAAAACCATTTCCTCCAGGCAATTGTAGTCAAAGTGGTCCTCCAATTCTTAATTTTTCCGTGACAATTCACACTTCATCTTAATGAACTGAGCAAAATGTCTTTTGCTTGCAGAATTAATGTGTAACGAGCCTGCAGTTTTCAAAACAGTGGCCTTGTTTGGAGATGGTAATTTTATAACAGCATACATTTGACGGTAAAAATAGTTGTTTTTTGCCAAAAGAATTAGTATCAATGTAACCCTAGCATAAAATCCAGAGTGATTTCTATTATTCATCTTGCTAGATAATTCTGTAAGCATTTTGTCTGATAAAATAGGGAGGCCAAAAATGCAAAGTTAAAAATAATAATGTGGTTTTTTACAGCATCACTTATTTTTTTCAGCAAATAAGCGCTAATGTAGAAAGAGATGAATAAATTACCTGAGGCGGGGATAATAGTTAGGAAGCATAGTGCGTCCTATGTCCATTGTGTTTGCTCCCTCACTAACGAGAAGGCAGTCCTTTGGTAAATGCTCCCTGATACAGTGGAATACTGTATAATAATTCATTGGCAGAGTTTTCTGCAGTGATAGTGCCTGAATTAAAAAAAAATAAATGAACAGACTATTTAAAAATTTGATGTAAATAACAGGATTATGAAAACATGAATATCTGTAAAAAATTGTGTCATGTATGATAGATAAATTGAAGGCATTGGATGGCTTGTTTGAAAAAGCAATATAATGTTATTGATTACTGTATATACTCAAGTATAAGCCGACCAGAATATAAGCCAAGGTACCTAATTTTACCACAAAAAACTAGGAAAACGTATTGACTTGAGTATAAGTCAAGGGTGAGAAATGCAGCAGCAACTGGTAAATTTCAAAATAAAAGTAGATACCAACAAAATTACATTAAAGGAGGCATCAGTAGGTTAAATGTTTTTGAATATTTGCATAAAACTGTAATTTAAGATAATACTGCCCAACTCTGATTAAACCATTACTCTAACCTTCTTGAAAGTAGATGTGGTTATGTATCCTTCCAATAATAATAGAGTAAAATAATAAATGTAATAATAACAGTAATAAAGAAAAAATGAATGTAATAATAAGAGTAAAATAATAAATGTAATAAAATAATAAGAGTAAGATAGAGTAAAATAATAAATGTAATAAAAATAATAATAAATTTAATAAAATAATAAGAGTAAGGTATGTAAATGTAATAATATCAGAGTAAAATAATAAATAATTTTGACTCGAATATAAGCCGAGTGGGGCTTTTTCAGCCTAAAAAAGGGCTGAAAAACTCAGCTTATACTAAAGTATATATGGTACTTATTGATGTTATAAAAATGCAAATCAACTTTTTAATGAGATGAGGAGGAGGATTAGACACATTCCTATGCAGTTTTGTTATTTGTGTAAATCCCAAAATAGTTGAAAGGGACATAAATAATACAGCAAATTAAACAAGGATGGCCCATGGACTTCATGCACACTCCAATCTGGGTTTCATAACCACAAACAACACAAAACTGCGATTAGTAGGAACAGATATTTGCCAGAAAAAAAATTAATCATACTTGTAGAGCAGGGGTCCTCAAACTAACGCCCGGGGGCCGGATGTGGCCCTCCAAGCTCAATTACACGGCCCTCGCTCACCTAAGTATGAAACGACTTGAAAGCACACAACAACAAACCTATCTCATCAACCAAAAGCAGGCCCACACTTGCCACTGAAATACTAACAAGTTTATATTTGTTAAAATGATTCTTCATTTTTATTATTGTATTGTTTTAAGTGTTTTTTTACACTACAAATAAGATAAGTGCGGTGTGCATAGGAATTCATTCATGCTTTTTTCAAATTATAATCTGGCCCTCCAACAGTTTGAGGGACTGTAACCTGGCCCTCGGTTTAAAATGTTTGTGGACCCCTGTTGTAGAGGCTTGGAAAAAGAAAAATTGTCCTTTGAAAGCACAGGGCATTGTTTTAATCCAAGAGTGAACTTCCAGTCACTTCTGATATTATGATGATGGTGATTTATTTATTTATTTATTTGCAAGAAACAAGCCCTCCCTCCAATATTTGGTGTGGATGCAGCCACTGCCTGGTCCCAGACAAATTTGCCCCCAAATTTGTCCATCTCTGTAACAAAACACTGAGGAAGTTGAAAAATAGGCTAGGAGGATACCCCTAATAGTACCTTGGATGTCTGTTCATTGCTTTGAATTTTCGCCTGTAGATCTTTCCACCACTCTGTATCAGAAGGGTATTTCCAATGCTTTTTGTTCAGCTGATCTAGAAGCTAAGAGTACAATGATAGCTTAACAAAAGAAGTATATAGAGTTTATTTCAAAACACCACAATGCTGCTTTGCTTTGGAAAAGTAACTGTATGCACTTGATCAACCGTCTTTTCAACTGGTGATGCACGTTTGAGAAGAAGGTTGTAAATGACAGTCCACTAGTCTCAGCCATTCCAAAACAATATTTTGGATGGATTGTGAAATTAAATTTAATTCATTAACAGCCACTGGTTGCCTTTTTGTGGCATGGTTTCAAACATATATTAAGAGTTGGGGTGGGAACAGTGGGGATGTTCCTCCCTGACAAAGAAATGAACTTTGCTTCAGTAATTTTGCAACTGACTAGTGTTAATTGGGAGGACCATGTTTTGCTGCACTACAATTAAGTCAAGCTTAGTGTTCTATTTTGAAAAATAGAAGTGAAAATACAATCTAGAACTTTCACTTATATTGGATCATGAGATTTCTGGATTGAGTTTGATAGTTTGACTGTAAGAATTTTACAAACCTTGGACTTTGAGAATTCATTTTTATTCAGTGATTTTTGGCTGCGTGTATTTTTCACACTTTCTTTCATAAATATTATATGTACTTATGATACATTTTGAACTTATGGGTCTCAGGTCCTGACCTATTGTTTTTATGACATTCCTGCATTCTATCAAACCGAAGAAGGTATTTTCACAAGTGGGTTCTTACATTACCTGCTCCGTCACTGCTTTTATGTCACCCAATAAGGCTGCAACGGGTTTCACATTGTTCCCTAATTCTTCTGCACAAATGTCTACCTGTCATGTAAAAGAAAATTTAAAAACAATATATACTGAATTGTGGTGATCAACAAAGGATTTTGTAATTTAATATCTATTACCATCTTTACCCCCTAAAATTAGGTTTTACTATTTCTTTTCAACTGAGAACAAGGACAACTAGCTTTGTTGTCCTCTTAGCAGTTTACTTCTTTCTTTGTCCTGTGTCTTGCACTGATCTAGAATACGTTTGAAAATATAACCTGTCATGCTGGATGAGATGAATTGCTCCCAAAAGCCCCTCTCAAAATCAAAATTAGCTGTAGGAAGAGCAGGGGGGAAACGCAGACAGACAAATAAATGCATTCTGAGCAAAGAGATTATCAAGGGAAATTGAAATCCTTTTTGCTGAAATTCCATGGCAGAATTTTTCATTACTCACTGATAAAAGCATGGCTTATTTTCAGTGAGCTGGAGGAAATCCTGTTTCAAATAGGTTCATTAGGAAGCATTTCAATTTCCCTTGATAAACAGTTTCCTTGAACTGCATTTGGAGCCAATTCTATTTGACAGGATTTTAAAATACCTGATCAAGTCTAATATCTTTACTTTTAACAATGGCAACACAGATCTCTTTGGAAGTTGAAAAACATCTTTCAATTATAATGAATTAATTTTTGTCTTTCCACCAAAAAGTTCAGGACATCATCTAGTCACGTCAAGCAAAGGGCAGTTCTGTCACATGATACTATGTCTGGCGAACCCAGCGCCAGGATACTCCACTTAGAGGACCATCATACTCGGGCTACGAGGGATGGCCTAAGAAGAAGAATGTCAATACCTACGAAACTACCAATTGCTGACAAAAGTCTCCGACACTAAAAGCTTCTGTGTTCATAGATGAAATTAGAAAAGTTTTTTTTAAAGTGGGATGCTGTGAGTTTTCCAGGCTGTATGACTATGTCCCAGAAGCATTCTCTCCTGACGTTTCACCCACATCTATGGCAGGCATCCTCAGAGGTTGGGGGGGTCTGWTGGAAACCAGGCAGGTGAKGTGTGTGTAAGTATGTGTGTGTGTGTGTGTGTGTGTGTGTATTTGTGTCTRTCTATCTATCTATCTATCTATCTATCGAATATCAGGGGAATTCCAGACAAGAATCAATCAGGGCCAGCTAACACCTCCCAACAAAGGATTCCCCCAGGCAGCAACCAGCCAGGCTTTGAAGCTGCAAGGCCATTAAATGCTAATCAAGGTGGCCATTTGCAATAGTCACACTTGCCTCAAGCAGACAAGAGTTCTTTCTCCCACCTTGGACTGTCCACAGATATAAACTTCACTTGCATAGATTTCAACAGATCCCTCAACCTCTCAGGATGTCTGCCATAGATGTGGGCAAAACGTCAGGAGAGAATGCTTCTGGAACATGGCCATAAAGCCCAGAAAACTTGCAGCAACCCAGTAGTTCCAGCCATGAAAGCCTTCAACAGTTATTTTTTAGTTTACAATTCCCAGGAATCTCCAGCCAGATTGATTTACCCAAGCTTTAGTTCAGAGTCAATGAAGTGTAATAGATTAATGTGTGGAGGAACACAGGAGAGCCCCAGACTAAATTTGTCATTTAGTCATGATTGTCTTTGGCCAAGGATAGACAACCTACAGCTTCAAATCTTTGCTTAACTTTGAACATATATTCAAATCAGCTAGTAAATTAATGACAATTCCTTAGTAACTATTAGATAGAGGAGTGCTTTTAAAGTGTGGTCCTAGACCTGAATCTCACCCTGTAAGGCTATTTTTGCAATCTCTATCATACACCACAAACCATATTTTTTCTGGCAAAACATAGTGTATTGCCTCTTCTGAAAACCTCAACAGTACCAATTCATAATTTATACATATTGCAAGGGGATCCTGCACATAAAAATGAACCTTTTCAAAAGCAAAAGTGGATTTTCAGCTATATCTGATTTTGTTCTGTTTTTCAGCACTTTTGATGGTGCCATCAGAATCATCAAAGTTGTTCACATCTGTTTCTGTGTAAGCCAACCATGTGATGCAGTGGTTCCCCCAGATTCAGACAAGCCGACAAGTCCCAAACACCTAGAGGGTCACAGGTTGTGCACAACTGATATAATGCACCCATTTTAAAACTGACCAGTCTTAGTACCTGAATTATTTTTACATCTGGCTGAAACCTCGGAGGAAGTCCAAAATGTAGAATCCAGTTCAGTCTAGCACCAAGCAACAGGATCACATCAGCATGCTGCAGTGCCCTAATCATTTTAAAAAAAGAGAGAGATTTAAATTAACTGATTATATTTTTAATATCAGAGCTCAGGTGTCTTGACTAAAAAAGACAGATCAACAGATTAGAACTTTGTGCTATTTAAACAGGATTTTGCTGCTTTCTAATCTTATAGGAAATCATCTATAGACTATAGCTATTTCTTCCTTCCTAACATTTAAACTCTGTTTGTTTGATACACTGTTAGGTTACTGGAAATGCATGACTAATTCTCTATCATAATTTTTGCCAAAACTAGAATGCAAAAAATACCATATATATGCCAATATCCTATGTGGCATATCCCTTTAATATAATTTCAGTCATCCAACTATTGCCACAATGATAGGACCAGGATCAAAACATCTATTAATCTTGTAAAGAGGGCCAGCAGTGTGTTTACAGATAACTCAAGATAAATACTACATATAGCCAAGGAGAGTGCAACAAGGATTCCCTCAAGTTTTCTCTCTGCTATTGTAAAGTCTGCACATTTTACATCATATTTGTGTAGCACAAGCCAACAAGTATTTTTCATCAGATATGATTTTAGGTCACTCTCAAAGAATTATTTTGCTCTGAATTCAGATCTGTGTTTATTTTTTCTCTATCATGTGTAGTTTTTACGATGAGGCTAATTTTATAATTAATGCGTGTACGTACTGATATCAATTAGATTCTACTGATATCAGTGCGTAAATGCATTAATTATTCGATAAGCCTCATCACAAAAACTACACATGACATGTGATAGAGAAAAAAAAACACAGATCTGAATTCAACGCAAAAAACTTTATAAGATAATGAGCTAAAATTATATCTGATGAAAAATACTTGTTACCTTATGTTATCTATATAGCATCAGGAAAACTGAATCCCCACATCTTTTCATAACAACGAATAAGGTTTTGCTGTTTTTGCTGTTTTTTCTTTCTTTCAGTGATTATTAAGGGTTTGAAATTAACAGTTATAGTAAAATCTCCACACATGGACATTAATTTTATGACAGTGCAGTGGTAATTTCCAATGGGTTCCTGTTCATACTGTGTATAAAACACATCTGCATCTATACAGAGAAACCTCATGTTAATTAAGTGAAATGAAGTTCATAAGAATTCCATTAACATCTTCTTCAGAGTACTGCTGTGTAGGCAAGTTTGGTTTATTTTGGAGGCTGAATTTTAGGGAGTTTGATATTCTCTCTCTATTTTTCTCAGAAAGGAGTGGAAATCTTGATTCATGATTTACCTAGATCTGGCTGCAGCTACACAGTGCGGATGGTTGTCAGGAACAACTCCCTTTCCCATCGGGGTAGGCAAAAAGGGAAGCCCGCATTGGTCCACCAACTTTCTGATGCTGTTTTCAGCATGTGAGTAAGCGGCACCTATAAAAACACCCACCGCCACCAGAGACTATTTGACACTGTTCAATACAAAACCTTTTTCATGAAGGAACTCTAGAATAAAGCTACAGAGATTGGGATGATTTTGACGGGAATCATTCAGTCACAATTTACAAGCACCACAATAGTTATGTTCTGCTGATCTGTAAGATAGTCACATCTCTTAATAAGAAACAATCCTGCCTATGAAAGGATGAGCTTTCAACGAGTGATAAATATGCTACCAATAGTATTAAAACAGCAAAAAAGCGACAGTTTTGATGGAATAATCAGCCTTTCATGCATTTCTTGCTTAAGAAAACTCTTATGAAATTTGAAATACCATATATACTTGAGTGTAAGCCAACCCAAATATAAACCAAGGCACCCAATTTTACTATAAAAAACTGGGAAAATATATTGATCTGAGTATAAGCCAAGGTTGGGAAATGAAGCAACTACTCTGTTATTATTATTACATTTATCAAAATAATGAATGTAATAATAATAACAGAGTAAGATAATAACTGTATTAATAATAACAATAATAAAGTACAGTAATGAATGTAATAATAATAATAATAGAGTGAAATAATACATGTAATAATAATAACAACAATAATAAAGTAAAATAATGAATGTAATAATAATAATAATAGAGCAAAATAATAAATGTAATAATATTAATRATAGAGTAAAATAATAAATATAAGAATAAATAGAGTAAAATAACAAATATAGTAAAATAGAGTAAAATAATAAATGTAATAAAAATAATAACAGAGTAAAATAATAAACTCAAGTATAAGCGGGGGGGGGGGTGCGTTCAGCCTAAAAAGTGCTGAAAAACATGTCTTATACTTGAGTATATACAGTATATAAAGTTTGTGTAAAGGAAAAAAAGAAGGAGAAGAATGATAGTGATATATATTACATTTTGTACACATAAATACCAACCTACTAACAAAGCAATTAATTTAATTATTTTTTTAAGATTAAGTTTGGCTAGAAACAAAACTGGACGAGAGAGTTAAAAGAAATAATCTAACAGGTACAATCAAGAAGAACTTTTAAGAAGAAGAAAAGAAGACAAGACATACGGAAGAAGACAGAAAACACAAGAAGAAGGTTTAAGAAGATAAGACTACTGTGTTTAATAAAAGTTAATATTCTCTCTTTGATATAGAGGATATATCGAACTTTCAAAATGTTAGCATCACAAGTAATGAGTGTTAGGGTAATAGAAATTAAGAATTGGATGTAACACAATAAAATGTTAGATAATGTTTTTCCCCTTACCCTCCATACTGTTTTTCTACCTCTCATCAATTCACTAGATATTTGTTAAGATTAAATTTACTAACACTAACATGCGTACTCTACTCATTCCCTTTCAGCTGTCATACTATTTGAAAAAATATTTGGAAATAACTAATAAAAAGATTTTGAAAAAATGGGAAAAAAGGAAACTCTATGAAATTCATGTGATTGCTATAAATGGACACATGACTTGAAGGCACATGCATATACACACACACATGTCCCATATACATCTCCACAACCCATTCAGTAAATGGAAAAAGTAGATTACAGTATTTTTTTTCTTTTAATAAATCCACTTTCACTTGCCATTTATTACTCTATATAAAGCAACAATGGAACAGGTTAGAAAAGGAAATTGTACTTTCCTTCAGAGACTTAAAAAAACTCCCTCAAACAGGTTTTAACTGCAGAAGTGAAAAAGAACATATGACCAGTTGAAACAGTAAGCCAACAAAAAAGACATAATCACTATATTTTGCAGTTAATGACAGGACTTGTATGTTACCTTTGCCAATAATTACAAGTGGTCTTTTGGAATGTGCAATGAATGATGTGGCTTTAGAAACAGCTGCCTCTTCAGCCATACTGATGGGAGGTTCTGGACAACAATCTACATATCTAGAAGGCAGAATGAGAAAACAAATATTTTTATAAAGAAATATGATAAAGACCTGAACAAATCCTTACTTTTTTCTTAGAAACAGAAAACCAAGGACTAATTGAGATACCACAAAGTTCCTTCATTCCTGATATACTGAAATTTAGCTTTCTCTATTTTCCAACCATGGAAAAATATAAATCAACAACTGCTTGATTACAGAAAATAACACATCTAAGATTATCAGAATGAGCAAACATGTTTGAACAATGTATACAATCTCACCAGAACACATAATTCTGTAAAGAAAAATACAAACCTCAAAAATAAATGTTAGAATTTCATTGCCCTCTAATAAGTCTCTGTTCTTTCAAAGCTAGCAATTTTAGCCCAAATTGCACACAAAGATACATTGTGCATTCTTCTTCCTAAGAGAATGCCACCTGCAGGCATCAACTCCATGTGTTCACAAAATCATTAGAACTCTGCATTTTCACTTGGTTTTTTCAAGTATTAGAATGACTCCCCACTATTTTCTCAACTCACATCTCTCAAAAGACAGGCAAAGATTATGTTCTTAACCAATTATTGTGTTAGAAACAAGATGAAATTAAATAGATGGTTTGGTGTGAACTCCAGAACTTTTGTGCTAATCTCCTACTTAATCTAATGACTCCTCTTCAAGAAAGTCCTAAAGAACAGCCTTTAAAGTAGCATTACAAATCGCACTTGGATACATTACTTTGGAGTGCCCTTAAGGAAGTACAGGGATTTATGGAAAGGTTTGGGGAATCATTTGTGGGAGTCTTACATTTCAAGTATCTGACTTGTTTATTATTTACTTATCTAAGTATTTCTTCCCCATTCTGTATCACAGGATCTCAAGACAGTGGACAAGAACCTTCAATCTAAGCTGTTTAAAGCAACTGAAGTTTATAAGCAGGCTTAAAACAGACTGAAAATGTAAATTATCTGTTATGATGTTAAAACAGCTTGAAACCGGAAAAATAAACATTTTGAAATGAAATCAATATGGCCTCCGAGACTTCAATAAAATGAAATACTTGGCATCACAATGAAGCCAGTGTTGGTATCCATCACACCTCCAGTGTAAAGCTCTTTCTCAACCACGGTACCAACCACAGAAATAGCTGTTCCTGTACTGCCACAGTATATTGTTTCCAGTGATGGAAGACTCCTCAGTAGAGCCCAGTCCTTGGCATTTGTATATTGGGAGATGTCGTTCTTGTAATATTCATTTAACCAATGTCCCACCATGAAACAGACCATTTAAAAAGTGACTCCTGAGTATGTGTTTGCATCACTCCTGAAACTGAACACATACGAGTAAGATTTATAATCTTTCATTCCAAGTAATTTCTTTATGAGAGACATGTTCATTGCTCCCGGTGGCGCAATGGATTAAACCCTTGTGCCGGAAGGACTGCTGACCAAAAGGTAGGCAGTTCAAATCTGGGGAGTAGGGTGAGCTCCCATCTGTCAGCTCTAGCTTCTTATGCAGGGACATGAGAGAAGCCTCCCACAGGATAGTAAAACATCTGGGCATCCCCTGGGCAATGTCCTTGCAGACTGCCAATTCTCTCACACCAGAAGCGACTTGTAGTTTCTCAAGTCACTTCTCACACATGTACACACACACACACACACACACACACAAATTAGCAAGTGGGCGGGACAATTCTCATTTAGCAGTGAGGTCCATTTAGCAAATCATGTTGGGAGAACTCACACTTCTCTAGTGCCTTTCATTATAAGCAATAGTTTTGTGTTTGTTCACTTTGTGGAGGCCATAGATCTCAGCAGTACAGTCACACAAGTGGACCCAATGCAATAATACAATTGCACAAATGAGCCAAAGATTTCAAAGTTCCAGCAGAAAGCCTTCTTAACTTGCAGGCTCAGCCCAGTAAGACTCACTTGACAGAACTTTTGTTCACCTCCAGATTTACAAAGTCTCCAGGTATGTCAATATAGCAAGCTCCTGGACGGCCGTAAATACTGGTTCTGACAGCCTGGATTGAGTGGGGAAAGGAAAATAAAACAAACATATTTTAAAATTCACAAACACCAAATTCTACAAACAAAGTGCAAAAGAAAGCAATAGTATCCAATGTGTTATAGAACAAGAAAGCTACTTTCAGCATCTGTAACCAGGGACTATCTAATTATATTGTCAGCTGTTACTTCTGGAGTTATTCAGTCAAAATCTCCTGCTGGTTGTCTATTTTAAGTAACACGGCCCATGAGGAAATGCCCTAGGGCTGCTTTTTTAGTTGCTCTGGATTCTATATGTTCCAGCCTCATATTAAGGTGCTCAGGTTGCTTTTGCAATGGGGTGAAATTTCCAAAACTAATTACGAAATGTGCCAACAACAAAAATAATGCTGAAGACCACTCAGTTGTATACTGTTGTATACTACATGCACCCAATATTTTAAAATGAATGTGTTTGTCCAGGGATAAACTTATGTTCTTTCAAGACAGTTGGTCCAGTATTATTTCCACTGCTAGGTTGTGGTCTTACACATATTTCCCTGAGATTGAATTCCATTAGGCTCTGAAGTGTTTTATTTTTGAGATCATATGCCTAGGAGTATGCTGTCAATCACATATGTGAATGCACACACACTTTTCAACCTTCAAAAGTACTGACTGTCGTCTCTATTTATACCACCAGTGAGCAATGTATGGCATAACCCCCACCCCATTTTGTGGTCCCTTCAGAAGCTGTTCTGCAGAACCAAATTTTGGTGTGCAGCAGCAAAAGCAAACCACGTATTCAATTTTTCATCCATTGGGAAAATACAGTGTGTGTTTGTGTGTGCTCCCTGGGTATCTTGGTTTCAGTGAATGGCAAACTAAGACCTGTGGGCTACAAGCAGCCCTATTCTATGGTCCCTAGAACCCCAATTTTTTTAACAATCAGGTTTGCCCCTAGATGTACTACATAATCAGTGAAAAAAGGCCAAGATGTCATATACTTAATGGAATAGTCTAAATTGCAATAAGTCTAATTCATTTCTGTTTATGATCTCTCTCTCTCTCTCTCTATATATATATATGTATACTAGCTATCCCCTGCCACGCATTGCTGTGGCCCAGTGTGTGTATATGTGCTTTGTGTGTGTATGTATATATATATGCGGGAGTGTGTGTGTGTGTGTATATATGTGTGTGTGTGTGTGTGTGTGTGCATATGTCTATATATATGTGTGGCTTTGCACATGGGTTGTAATGTATTTTTTATTTTTTGTTTTTTTAAGTCCCTTCCGCAGTGTTTTCCAGTGTTTTTTATGAGTGATGGTCACTTGTTAGCCTAATTTGGTGTCAATTCGTCCAGTAGTTTTTGAGTTATGTTAATCCCACAAACAAACATTATATTTTTATTTATATAGATATATACAAGCATCAACAGTTTGTAGTGTAAACAGAACTCAAATCAATGAACATTTTACAAACACATAATCCTACCACCAAGGCCTGAACAAGTATAATTTTCTTTGCCATAAATGTATGAGTCAACCAGTAAACAAATGTCATATCCAAAATTCCTGATCAACAAGGTTGTATTGTTTTCCCTTAACACTCTCTAAAGTATATTTGATGAAAGCCAACCAATATGCATCAAATTCTGATCTTTTAATTTCCCCTTGAACACCCTCATTTCCATTGATAGTTTATCATTTAAGGCAACGTTCCATACCTCCCCATACCATGCTTCCAGCGTGAGATTGGTTACTATCTTCCAATTCCTTGCAATTATAAGTCTTGAAACTTTGAGTAAAATAATCACCAGTTCTTTCCTTTCTTTTCCTTTCTAAGTTCAGCTTTGTGGCATCCACTAGTAATGTTAACCTAGCATCTGAGGCATGTTTAATCCTACAACGTTACCTATTTCCATAAATATATTGTTATGAAAACTTTTCAGCTGGGAGGTTTTAGCTGAAGAGATTTCTGTTCATGACCAACATTCAATCTCACACCCAACATCCTACAAAGTCAACTTAAATATATTTAATGTTCATTGACATAAAATGTGAATTTAATAATTATAGAATAAAAGAGGCAATGTTAGTTAATAATTTGTCAATGAGTCTGGCAACTGTAGTAGTAATTATTTCATTGCTGTTTAGAGACACACAGGACTGAATATTAGGAGCAAGTAATGCTGCTTTGGAACAATTAGCATACCTTCTCAATAACAGCAGGAATTGCTTCTAAGCTGGTTGGTCTGGCACTAAATTTGCTGTATAACCTACAGGCTTCAACCTAGAAACGTGAAAACAAACAATGTCAGTAAAAAACATTTTCTCCGCTTTCTTTTCAAGGAGACATAGGTTGGATTTACAAATTAGAAGAGCTCCAAAGAGTCAGATTAGAAATCTCCCTGACTGCTGGCTTTAGGATTTAGGAATTTTAATCTAAAGTCAAACACCCTGCCTCATCCAGAAAGTGAAGAGATGTATTTATGAAGCCTAATAAGCAGGACATAATAGCAACAGTTCTCTCTTGCTGCATAACTGGAGCCTGAGCCCTTGAACACAGAGATTCTCCTTTTGATGAATATGTTTCACAGTTAATAACCAATTTTAGACCTTGCTAAGCTTGCAACTTTCATTCACAGTCAATATTCTGTAATAGTGTTCTTCAGGCCTGCAAATGATTGAAAAACCAATCAAACAACTAATTTCTCTTGTGTTTCAGATAAATTTTCACTTAAGTAATCTCAAAACACTGCAGTGAAGAGAAGAAATAAAGCAGGACACATTAAAAGCAGCTGGAAAAGTGGGGTGACAAGAGGATTAACTATGCCTCTCTCTGCCAAATTGGGACAATTGAAGGGTATGTTCAAGACTTCTTTAAACAGAAGTCTTGAACAGCTGTATACCTGAAGACAAATGATGTGCAATAACAACCTCAACGGTTTTTGACTATGTCCTTGGATTCCACAACTTTAATAATGTATTTTAATGTTTATACTGCTTTCAATTTTTTGTCTTAATGTATTTGTTTATTTTATTGTCTGTTCATATGGCATTTAATTGCTGCTGATTGTAAGCCGCTTTGAGTCCCCTTCGGGATAAGAAGGGCGGGATATAAATACAGTAAATAATTAAATAAATACCTGTGGAAATTCCTGGAAAGCTCCCATTGTTTCCTGATTTCTGTCAGAGGAACCTCCTATGACAATCAAAGGCCTGAAGGAGAGAAAGTATAAGTTCTTGGAAGCAACACCCTTAAATTATCTGGGTATGAACACATGCTTATCTCAAAGGGGCTACATGTGAAAACAAAGAGTGTCATATACATTAAAAACTCTGCATCCAACAATCAGGGGTGGATCCCTGATGTTTGGGTGTAGGCAGATCATAAAACAGATGCAGGAAAAGTATTATCCCACAGATGTTTGATTCCTATCAGCCCTACTACGTAATCCAGAATAGGGCTCCACAGTCAGCTATGTATCCTCCGCCAAGACACTACACTTGGAATGCCATCATGCTCGGACAGTGAAGGATCACCTAAGTAAGTAAGCTGATGGAGCAGCAATCCAACAACTGGAGAACCAAATCTTCTCCACAGCACTTTAATGGGCATTTCTGAACATCCTGTCATCTGTTAGCAACAATGGTGAAGAAATGGTGCCTTCTCATCAAAGTCAGCCTTTTCAAATACATAACAAGCACAAAGAAATTGCATATGACTAGTGAGTACTGCTGTACCCAACCATTTTTTTTAAAACAGAAAGGCAGGACAGATACATTTCAAAGTAGTGTGTAATAACTCAAAAATAAATTTTAAAGATGCATTAAGAATGACTTGTATTTAAAATAAGATTAAATGAACCCCACCAGATCATATGATAGTTTCCAGGCAATAACATTATCATGCCCATAACAGGCACTGCAATCAGATGATAACAAGATGCTGTCAATAATGTTTCAAAACCAAGGAACTGATTACACATAAATGTGGTAGATGAGTCATATGCAGTGAATTTCCTCAAGCACAGAGCATCAGTGCTGACAATGAAGCTGTGCACAGTAGAAAGGCCTGAAGCATTTGGACAAGTATAAAAATTCTGCCTTAGCATAAAGACCCACCCATCTAAAACTGAAGTAAACTAAAATGAGATAAGATTCTTTCATTTAGCTTTCATGACAAATGACATAAATTATACTAGTTAGTCAACATTTAACATTCTCAAAGAAAAAGCAATTCTTTACCAGCAATTCATGTTTGCATTTGCCATTCCAGCAAGCGCATGGATAAGGCCAGGACCAGAAACTACAAGGCATACACCAGGCCTGGAGAGAAAAGAAAAACAAGATAAAACATATAAAAATAAGCATAAAACTCCTCAAAAAATGCCAGATGTCTCAAGTAGAAACACAAGAGTGCCATGTAGTACAGTGTCATGCTGAATGATCAGTTTGGATGAACAGGAGTAGGTATCATATTTTTGTCTTTCCAACTCTTCAACCAAAAAAAGGGCTCATATAACAGTTTATAAAGATGAGTGAATAAGAATGTCCCTGCCCTCAGGTCAATATAAAATGGACAGGAGTAGTTGGGCTCCAGGAGTCAGTTTTTGGACCCTTGGGACACCTGGTGGGCCATTCAAGGTCAGGAATATATTTAAAAGAAAGCCTCCCTTAACATTTTATAACAATGTGATTGCAAGTCTACTCTTGAGAGAGTGTGGCTGTAGGCAGAATGGGAAAGTAAGCCTTTCAGCAACCTTTTCATTATAATGTCTAACTTTTTTCCTACTAAAACAATTTGTTTAAATTGCTGTATACATACATGGTGTAGTGATAAATGTTCTACAGATCATCGTCATGACAATCCCCATAGCTCATAAGGAGAGTCCAATAGCAAAGCTAACTGTATTGAACCACATCAATCAAACCAGTTCTAGCAGGGTTTATTTCCTTTAGGACCAAGTCTCATGTACATCCAATCCAAAACCAAGTTTGAAACATGTATCTTACCTTCCTGTCAGGTACCCAATAGCAGAGGCAGCATAGGAGGCCTGTTGAAAACAAGATACACGTGTATATGTGAGCTGCTAGTTGGATGTCTGAAGCTTCAACAAAAAGTTATATTCAGATATGCTTAAACTGCAGCCTTCCAACAACAGCCTAATCCCCACTCCTTGATATCTGCCTCCCAATCTAGCCCCCTAAAACCCATCTTAAAAACTAGGCAGGTGTACCAACTGAAGATGTTTTGAGGTGCCAGTAATATACAGGGCAATGAGCAAAATAATGGTCTCCTACAAGGTCCTGTAGTAGCAGTTCATGGCCTGCCAGTAAGTGGGTGCTGGATGCATCATCCTTCAGCATCCTACTCACATATACTTCATTTGGTACGGCTGCCTAGCTTTTATGGTGGGTTATAGGAGAATTTGTGGTAGGTCAATGGTAAATGTGAATATGAAACAACCTTCTAACTGCCAATCAGGATGTCAGGTTGGGGGAAGAGATGCAGAAAAAGTCTCCCTTTCCTCCAAGTAAGGAAACAGGATCACCAGGATACATGTAGATATAAGTGTGTGCATGTCCCATGATAAAACATGTATCTCCTAGTTTTGTTTGGATTTACCATAGCTTTAAGTATAAACGAAGAAAATGTATAGTTGTTAACTGCCCTCAAGCTGACTTTGACTTATGGCAATCCTATGACCTCCAGGTCATCTTACCTTCAACAGCCCTGCTCAGGTCATCCAGACTTCCATGGCTTTTCAGATTGAGTCTAGCCATCTGGAATGTGGCTAGACTCCTTTCCTTTTGCTCCCCACTTCTCAAGCATTATCATCTTTCCTAATGTGTTATCTCTTCTCATGATATGGCCAAAATATAAGAGCTTCGGTTTAGCCATCTTGGCATACAGGGAAATTTCAGGCCTGGTTTTTTGTAGGATGCATTTATTTGTCTTTTTAGCACTCCATGATAACCATGGAACTCTTCTCCAGCGCAACATACAAACTAGTTGATTTTCCTCCTGCCAGAGTTCTTTATTATCATTCACAACCATACACAGAGATAGGGAGTATGACTGCATGAACCATCCTAACTTTAGTATTCAGTGATATATATATTTATATTTCAGAATTCTATATAGTTTGTTCATAGCTGCTCTTCCGAGTCCTAGTCTTGTTCTCATTTCTTGACTGCAGTCTGTATTCTTATTAATGACTGATACAGCATGTCACATGCAGTTATGTGACATGCTTCAAGGACTCTAAGGACACTGAGCTGGCATACTTCCATCCAAAACCTGTGACGGCTTGATGGTACCAAACAGAACTCTGACCTTCAGGTAAAACATTGGCTGACAACTAGCACTGTCTAAGAAAAACATGGGTGGCTGGCCAGCACCATCGGAGTGATTGCTAAACATCAACAACCACTACAAAGATTTACCACAAGACACGGTAAGAACATGACCTCTGAAAGAAGGGTTAACCCTTTTCCTGAAACTGGTTGGCCATGTAGGAATGTTTCCTATACACCACCAGATGGCATCAATGAGACAACACGGGAAAATTAAACAAGGGAGTCAATATTGTACTGCAATATAATTCTCTTACTCAGCATCACTGAGGTGCACGGCACAAGATTCTAGTAGATAGAATTTCAATTTAGAAAACTATGACATAAGAAGGAATGATTTAAGCTAAGTATCAACACCCTTGTTTTAGAGGCAACGTGAACATGGGGAGCTCTGGCGTGGGCTGGTCTATGAGGTCACGAAGAGTTGGAGACGACTGAACGAATGAACAACAGAACATGGGGACAAAACCTGAGGACAGGGAAAACCTGAGGACAGGGACCTTTGGAAAGGTCTGTGGGGAGCTTTTGACCTTACAATTCAACATGTAATAATTGGGGCACATGAGACTATAGGGAGAATTAACCATCATGCCTAGTTTTAGCTCTTATGTGCCCTGTTTTGTTTGCAAGCTGTTCCTCAAACTGAACATAATTCAGTAACAAATACATTCAGATTAGGACTCAGGAGATTAGTGAAATAAGAAGACATACTAGAAAATATGGTTAAAAATAAAAAGTCTGTCCTTCACACACTCTCGCAGTCTCTGCATCAATTCTCAGATCAAGGACAGATAGGGAAGCTTTTTGTATCTCTATTCGACCACATCCTTCCCCACCATCACATGGGGATGCATCTATTAACAAGGATTATCTATCATTTAATGAAGCCATAAATAAAACTTCTTTAGTTTCCAAGTAACTCACAAGACTCTTGCTTGTTTTTGCTGAAGCAGAGCAACAGGGTTACACAACCTGTCCCACAACCTGTCCCCAAATTTGTTTAGGATGGCTCTCCAAAGTTTCTTCATGGTCTCACAATATATTCCATACTCATTTTGTCACATATGTTGTCTCCATAAACTGAAACAATTTCGCAATGAATTGCAGCAGCGTTCATGCCCTTCGCATTTCAGTAGCATATTACAGTGCATTTGGAGGAAATGGAATGAGAACGCTCATCTCCAACCTTCACCACAATGCCAATTGATGAGCTACTAACGACTGGCACTGCTCATTCACTTTCGCTGGCTTCCCGCTATACGGCAGTGATACCAACTTCCCCTGTGAAAATTCTCCACGAGAGCTATGTGCCTTGTAACTTTACTTTCCGGATAACCCTTATACAATTACATAGTAAAATTCTGCTGTTTGCCTCAACAGACACATTTATCCCTGGTTCTCTAAATCATTGCTTCTTAAACTATGTGTCCCAACCCCAAATGGGGTCCCATAAGAAAAAATGGTCTGCAAAAATGCTTCAGCTGTACTTAATAAAAAAAGAAAACCGGTCTGTTTAGCGAGCCTTGCAAATGCAGATTTATTATCAGGAAATGTTTGGTTTTATATCTACTTTATAAACCTATAAGCCCAGGATCATGTAAAAAGTTCTTGGGCAGAAAGGGGTCATAAATGAAAAACGTTTAAGAAGCCCTGCTCTAATTGTCATAGAATGCTCTGTTTTTGTAATCTTTAGGCCATAAAGTTTCGTTAAGGTTCCTGCAGGTGAAGGTGAAACAGAAAGCAAATTTAGCAGTTATGAGGCAGATCAGTCACTGAGCTAGATATATCTATTATCTAACAGGAATCTCTGCACTTTACAACAATGCTAGCAAATGTAACAGAGCCAGCAGCATTTAAAGGGTATCTACTGAACTGTGGCATAGAACATTGCATCAAAAATCTGTCTAAAGTGAATGTTAGTAGGAAGGAAGATGTATATATTGTCCTTTGGGGACAGAAGATACCAAATAAATATGTGTGTGTGAAATATCCTCTCCCACCCAAGGACAATCTACAATTTTTCTTTGGTGTATGCACACGGCAGGAAAAGGTTAAATTGTTTGGAATCATACATTCAGAAAGCATCAGTGAGAATAGTCACCATGACACTTTGCGTGGGAATAAAATTGGAGACATTTATTTAGAATTAACAAGGTGGGTGTGAATGCAGTTTTTACATAATATCTTTGACAAACAGAAGAGGGAAGAGAAAAAAAAATTTACTACTCAAAACCTGAAGGCAATTTAATTTGACATGTGTTTCCCTTCTCCTTTTGATGGAAAAAAACCCCACAAGCTAATGTACAAATGTTTAAGCATATCTAGAGTGGGTGTTTCATTAGCAAACCTCTTTGTATCTCACAAGCAGGGTGCCATGGCAACAACATGCTGTCAAACCAAATGACATGCTTAAAGAACTTTGCAGGTACACGCAACCCTACTACTGATGCTTTTGATTTCAAAGGGGAAATTATGGACCTGTTATTTTTTATTTATGCTTTTGTTACTGAAAATGTTAACCTGTAGTCCAGATGGTAGATGTGCTGTGACTTAAAATCAAACCTAGGTCTGGAGTAATAGAAAACTTAAGTTAATGTACACAGTTTGTTTTCAGATATCTGCAAATGCTCTTGAACTGAAATTCCCATTATTCCTAGCCAATATAACTCATAGTGAAGGATGTAAGGTGCACCAGTTCCCATCTTCTATCTTTAACAATATGCAAAAAAAATGCTGCTTCAAATAGACCTCATCAATGAACACATGATTAATCTGAAGTACCAACTGAAGGTGACCAAATTCCCTATCACTTCACAATAACAATCTTTGCATCAAGGATCTCTTCTCCCTTCCAAAGCATAGGCTGTGAAGCTTTCCCTTGATTTTGGGTGCACTGTTGAAATAATGCTGTTTGACATCGTTTTAACTGTCATGGCTCAATGCTTTGGAACCCTGGGAGTTGTAATTTTACAAGGCCGTTGGCCTCACTAAACTAAACAGGCTTTCACAGCATGCTAAGCCATGGCAGTTGAAGTGGCATTAAACTGTATTAATTCTCATTATAGGGATAGTGAAGCTTGACCATGCTGACTGGGACTGATGCAAGTGGTAAATCAAAGCTTCTCGGGAGTGGAAGGTCAAAGCATCCCTATACTGTTGCTTTCCATGCAAAAAGACATCTTGCTAGTATTTCATCAAAAACATGCTTGCAAGGCGAAGAGGTTGCACCTCATTGTTGAAATTAAGATGGTGGTATTCATAACGAATCACTACAAACTTCCAGATTAAAGTTGTTAAAAGTTTTTTTTAAAAAAAACTGAGATTATTACATCTGCATAGTTTGTCTGGATGACAGTTTTGCAGATGGTCATAATAGGTGTGTGAGACATCATTTGATCTGTTTTGGAGACAAGCACTCTCTGAATGAAATAAACTTTTAGGAGAGAACAGAATGTAGGAATACTAATTAGTCCAACAAATACTTACAGCTTGTTCATTTCGCATCCCTATGTATTTAATTCCACTTGCTTGAGCGGCAACTGCAACTTCAATCACAGGAATGCCAACAATACCAAACATGTATTCAACATTCTGAAACAAACAGATTTAAAAAATAGAATTGTTTTTACGAAGTATGTATTTCAATAAGCGAAGCTGAGATGCTGACAAATATTGTTACTGTCCAGAGCTGGAATTTATAGAAGAGAAATTCTGAATTGGAATTTGTGACATCAAATCAAGGGGGACTTCTAATAACTCCTAACAAACCAATGCAGCTGGTTTACCTTTATTTACCCTATCCTCTCATATTCTTGTCTTCAGCAACAGGAAAGAAACAATCAGGAAAGATACCGTATTTCTTAAATTCTAAGATACTCTTTTTACCTATATAAATATCTCTTAAAAATAGGGTTCATCTCAGAATCGCAAGTATATCTTATGTATTTTCATTGGTGGTAGGGTTTAGGTAAAAGTTTTCCCCTGACATTAAGTCCAGTCATGTCCAACTCTGGGGGTTGGCGCTCATCTCCATTTCTAAGCTGAAGAGCCACTGTTGTCCATAGACACCTCCTAGGTCATGTGGCTGGCATGACTACAGGGAGCACTGTTACCTTCCAACCAGAGCGGTACCTATTGATCTACTCACATTTGCATGTTTTCAAACTGCTAGGTTGGCAGAAGCTGGGGCTAACTGTGGGAGCTCACGACTTTTTGGTCAGCAAGTTCAGCAGCTCAGTACTTTAACCCACTGCGCCACTGGGGGCTCCTCGGTGGTGGTATTGGTACTTTAATGAGGGTGCATCTTACAATCAAAGGGATCTTACAATTGAAGAAATATGGAATTTAGTTTTCAAAAGATTGTACTTAAATATTTGTGGGACTAAGAATTAAGAATTCCTTTAAAAGTAGCTGATCATAGAGGTGTTCTGGAATACCTAGGAATTCTTAGATGAGTTCTCTCAAGTAAAAGAAAGTGCATTTTCTTTATTCATGGTTTAAAGCTTTTACTTGCACAACCTCAGTGAATGTGGAGTGTTGACTATACATCTATCTTCATGAATACAGTAACTGTTGAAAAGATTTGCTTGCAAAATGAATAACCTCTGCTCAATGGGTGTCATTAAGCAGTGTTCAGATGGATACCCATCAGAAATGCTATAGGTTTACCCTACACTGAAGAGGAGATGGACTGACTAAATGAGAATAAAACATCAGTAGAAATGATTGATATACTCTGGCAGTTTGAAGAATCAGTGATGTATGTGAAGAAAAACTGGTTAATGTTTGAGCAAAGTCAGGATTTCATAACAGCTAACCTTTGATTTCTCTCTATGTGGAAACAATCTAACCTGCCCTGGATTACCTCTGTGTGTGAATGTTTAGAAATATGACACTAGTATGCATGTTTTTCAGTTGGAATGCACATACGGAGGAAATGGTGACTAAACACACTTCCACCACATTTATTATCATTTGTATATTATTATTATTATTATTATTATTATTATTATTATTATTATTTGAAGAGGACGGTATTATTTGTATACTGCCCTTCTCAACACTGAAGGGGACTCAGGGCAGTTCACATGTAGGTGTTAAATATCTACATTGTGCTGTGTTATATACACAGATTTCATGCAAATTCCTGTACTTTCTACACCAGTGGTTCTCAACCTATGGGTCCCCAGATGTTTTGGCCGTCAAATCCCAGAAATCCTAACAGTTGGTAAACTGGCTGGGATTTCTGGGAGTTGTAGGCCAAAATATCCGGGGACCCACATGTTAAGAACCACTGTTCTACACAGAAAGCCTGAGATGTGTGAGGTATATCTAATTCTTTTAGGATCGAAATTGGGGTCCTTTTTATGACAGCCATCATTATCAGAAGTAGTATACTAATAAATTCCTTGGTTAAACACAATACTAGCCTCTGTGATGCACTGACAACTCCACATTTCCCTTCTTCACAGAGAAATAAAAGCACCAGCATTGCATGAGGTCAGATTATTTATTTATTTATAAGGTCCTTCAGTTATCAATAGATTGCAGTTTTCATTAGCCTTAGCGAGCATAGCCAATAATGTGGAATGTTAAAGAGCCCAACAACATCTGGAGCAAGCTTGCACAACCTGTGGCCCTCTGGGTGTTTGAGTCTCAGACTTCCAGAAGCCCTAGCCAGCTTGTCCAATGGTCAGGAATTCTGGGAGCCAAAGCCCAAAACATCTGAAGGGTTGCAGGTTGAAGAGGCCTGATCTGGAAAGTTGCAAGATTCGTATTTCTGCTTTATACCAATATTGTCTAATCAAGATTTTCCTAACATGGCAGAACGCTTGAACATTGTCCTCATTTTTTAACAGAGCATCGAAAAGGTAGTTTTTTTTTTTACTGTACCTCCCAAAATCCACAAAGTATCACAATCAGTTCTGGTATTGGTTAACAATCTGGGCCATCCCCAGTCAGGGTGGAGATGATGTTGTTTGTATATTGTTGAAGACTTTCATGGCTGGAATCACTGGGTTGTTGTAGGTTTTTTTGGGTTGTATGGCCATGGTTTGGAGGCATTCTCTCCTGACATTTCGCCTGCATCATAGATGCAGGCGAAACGTCAGGAGAGAATGCCTTTAGACCATGGCCATACAGCCCGAAAAAACCTACAACAACCCGATGTTGTCTGTAGTCCAACACCATAGCATAGGAAATTTACTGTACTCTTTTTAAAGACTACTAATTCCCAGCATTTTGCAGTCACCTTTGCCAGTCACTATGGCATCTTTGAGACTGACCATGCCGCAACTGGGTGATGAAAAGTTGGTTTATTCTGACTAGCAGACAGAAATCTTTCCTAGCTCCTGCTACATTATCTGAAAACATGGTTTTTTAAACAAGCTTTTGACCACGTTTAGGGATTATGCTCTTAATCACTATATTCAAGGACTTAATGAGTGTTCACTTCTGCACTTTATGGGGACTGATATTGTACACGGCTGCTATTTTTGTAGCTTGCTGGGTTTTATAGTATCTTTTAAATTGATTGGGGTTTTAAGTATAATTGGGTCAATTTTATTGTTATTAATTTTATTTTTCTGTATTTTGTTGCACTATTGAGTTCTTTCTGTGCCACCCAAGTCCCTTCAGGGAGATGGTGGCGGGATACAAATAAAGTCTGAAACATTATTATTATTACTATTGTTATTATTGTTATTTATTATTTCTACTCCAGTGGTGCTAATAACTCATTTTTCCCAACCTCTTCCAATGTTGGGGGGAACTGGAGTCTAACAACATCTCGAAGGCCACAGTTTCCCTGGTCCTGTTTCCAAAGGAGATGCCAATAAAAACTTGCTCTGACAGGTTCCAACAAAGTATTACCCTTCACCTATATCTACGTTGGACATCTCCTTCAATGAAAACTATCATGTTCTCCTGATGTACAGTATGTTGAAATCCCTACAGCTTGAGGCTGCTGCAGGTATGGAAGGAAGGGAATTTAGAAAAATAAATCTGTTTTCAGAGCTAAAGATGACAGGTACAAGCGCATAATCCAGGGCTGGAGAACTAATGTGCCCTCTTGTCTCTGAGCTTCAGCGGCTCTGGACTGGTCTTGTCAGAGAATTTAGACAGCCACCGTCTTTTTGTTTGGACAGACATTTGATAAGTGACTATATAAGGCCCATTTCACCTAAACAAGGTGCTGAATTCTGCTAATTGCTTGTCTGTCCAATAATATTTTTTTCTTGTTTTAATATTTTTGATTGTTTAATCTCATTTTTTAATTTTTATAACCCACCTTGAGTTCCAATCTGAGGAAAAGGTGAGACAGAAGTGGCATTTATCTATTATAAATTAATGCCAACATAATGTTACTCAATAGAAAAGACTGAAAGACTGTAGCAGTAAGGGATTTGACAGAACTGTATTATTACAGTGTGTTATGAACTGGAGAGATGGAAAAGTGATGAGTTTGTTTGTAACAAAGATAGGAACTTCCTATAATAGTGATGTTGCATTATAGTTAAACATGTTGTTATAATACAATAAAACGTAATAGAAATACGTAAATAAAACGTAATAGACACTCCCCCTAAAAGCACAGGTACCCAGTCTGGGAGTTCTCCTGGATTCATCGCTGAGCCTGGAACCCCAGGTTTCAGCGGTGATCAGGGGAGCATTCGCACAATTAAAACTTGTGCGCCAGCTGCGTCCATACCTTGGGAGGGCTGACTTGGCCACGGCAGTACACGCTTTGGTTACATCCTGCTTAGACTACTGCAACGCTCTCTACGTGGGGTTGCCTCTGAAGACTGCCCGGAAGCTGCAGCAAGTACAACGCGCGGCAGCCAGATTACTAACGGGTGCTGGGTACAGGGAGCACACCACTCCGCTGTTACACCAGCTCCACTGGCTGCTGATTAGCTTCCGAGCACAATTCAAAGTGCTGGTGTTAACCTATAAAGCCCTAAACGACTCCAGCCCGGTTTACCTCTCCGAACGTATTCTTCCCTACGAACCATCAAGACCACTAAGATCGTCTGGAGGGGCCCTGCTCTCGGTCCCTCCGCCTGCACAAGCACGGCTGGTGGGGACGAGGGACAGGGCCTTCTCGATGGTGGCCCCTCGACTTTGGAACTCCCTGCCATTAGAGATCAGAACTGCCCCCTCCCTCATGACGTTCAGGAAACTAACAAAGACCTGGTTGTGGAACGCAGCATTTGACAACTGATTTAATTCTTTGCCCACATGAAAGGAGGATGATGAATGGGATTGTGATGGTGTCGGATGATTTGGCTCTTTTAACTGGGATGATAATGTTTTAATGTGTATGGTGCTGATATTTTAATCGTGTAATGAAGTGGCATTGTGTTGTTATTGTATATTTTTGTATGTTAACACATGTTGTGAATCCCTCTTTGAAGGTGAGAGGGTCGGTATATAAAACCTCGAAATAATAAATAAAGAAATAAAAATAAACCTCCTAATAATCTCTTCTAATTGTGTATGTTAATGTATGTATTTTCATCCTTGTACTATGCACTTTGACATATTTATTTTGTGGTAGTGTTTTAATGTATTATTTTATAGTGATGTTTTAAAACTATGTTGGGCCCCACCTTGAGCTATGAAGACAGGTGGGTAACAGGCCTTCAGCGAAGAAATCTAGACAGAAGAGTTAGGAAATGCCAACAACTTTATTGACTGAAGTAAAATATAACCTGACAACAGCTTAAGCGGCTGAGGGGGAAAAGGAAGGGGCCTGAGGCTGTTAGGACTGGTGGGAGTTGAAGTCCAAAGCACCTGGAAGGCCCAAGTTTGCCCATGCCTGATCTAGAGCAGTGATTCCCAACTCTAGTTCTCCAAGTGTTCTGGACTTCAACTCCCAGAAGTCTCAACTATCATGGGAAATGATAAAGGACGCTGGGAACTGAAGTCCAAAACTGCTGTAAGATCAGGCATTGGGAGACATTGATCCAGGACATCAAGCATCCCCCAGAAACATAAGAGATGCCAATCAGTACCAAATATGCTGGCATTGAACAAGAGAGACACTTGAGAGAGAAATGGTGGGGGTGGGAAAAAGTGACTCACACCCTGGCTGGGATGAGAATCGTGTGAATCTTTTTTCCCACCCTCATTCGCTTTTCCACAGGATTGTCCCTTCCCGCTTCCCGTAGGAAGGGGAATGCAATGCTTCCGGTGACGCCTGGGTTCAAAGGTCCGGCACACTTCCTTACTTGCTTCTTGAGGGCCTCCGCGATGACTTGAGCCCCAGTGAGACGCTCGCCCTCTTCCTGCTCTCGCGGACTTTGCGGAGCCATCGCTCCCACTCTCGGATTTCCGGCCACTGAAAGGCGCGCGGCGAGGCGAATCCGCAATGCTGAGGTGCGTGGACTTTGACCAATGAGGAAAGCAACGTCGCGTGATTGACGCGCCTGTCTCCAGTGGGAAAGGCTGTGGGTTTAACCAATAGCGAGTGGGTGGGCGGGGCTAACAGAGCGAGCCTCTTAAAACTAAGCTTTCTATTGGGAGCGGCGGGGCGTAGATTGTTGAAGCAGTGCTTCTGATTGGTCGAGGTCTGATAGTTGCTCAGCTAATCGCATCCCCCCAAAATGCCCAAACAGGCAGAGTTGCTTCCTAGGAGAGGTTCGGGACAGTTCAGCTACACTGAAGAATTAATGCAGTTTGACACCACTTTAACTATCCGTTCAATGCTATGACGCCATGGGAATGGTAGTTTTACAATCATAGAATCATAGAATCAAAGAGTTGGAAGAGACCTCCTGGGCCATCCAGTCCAACCCCCTGCCAAGAAGCAGGAATATTGCATTCAAATCACCCCTGACAGATGGCCATCCAGCCTCTGTTTAAAAGCTTCCAAAGAAGGAGCCTCCACCACACTCCGGGGCAGAGAGTTCCACTGCTGAACGGCTCTCACAGTCAGGAAGTTCTTCCTCATGTTCAGATGGAATCTCCTCTCTTGTAGTTTGAAGCCATTGTTCCTTGTCCTAATCTCCATGGAAGCAGTAAACAAGCTTGCTCCCTCCTCCCTGTGGCTTCCTCTCACATATTTATACATGGCTATCATATCTCCTCTCAGCCTTCTCTTCTTCAGGCTAAACATGCCCAGCCCTTAAGCTGCTCCTCATAGGGCTCCCACCTCCTTAAGCCGCTCCTCATAGGGCTTGTTCTCCAGACCCTTGATCATTTTAGTCGCCCTCCTCTGGACACATTCCAGCTTGTCAATATCTCTTTGAATTGTGGTGCCCAGAATTGGACAAAATATTCCAGGTGTGGTCTAACCAAAGCAGAATAGAGGGGTAGCATGACTTCCCTAGATCTAGACACTATGCTCCTATTGATGCAGGCCAAAATCCCATTGGCTTTTTTTGCCACCACATCACATTGTTGGCTCATGTTTAACTTGTTGTCCATGAGGACTCCAAGATCTTTTTCACACGTACTGCTCTCGAGCCAGGCATTGTCCCCCATTCGGTATCTTTGTATTTTGTTTTTTCTGCCTAAGTGGAGTATCTTGCATTTGTCACTCCTGAACTTCATTTTGTTAGTTTTGGCCCATCTCTCTAATCTGTCAAGATCGTTTTGAATTCTGCTCCTGTCCTCTGGAGTATTGGCTATCCCTCCCAATTTGGTGTCATCTGGAAACTTGATGATCCTGCCTTCTAGCCCTTCATCTAAGTCATTAATAAAGATGTTGAACAGGACCGGGCCCAGGACGAAACCCTGCGGCACTCCGCTCGTCACTTCTTTCCAGGATGAAACAAGGTCCTTAGTCTTCTCTGCCAAAGAGTGCTGGTGACTCACCAAACTACAAATCCCAGGATCCCATAGCATGCAGTTCAAGTGCTGTCAAGCTGAATTCATTCCAGGGTGTAGATCAGTGGTTCTCAACCTTCCTAATGCGTGACTGCTTTAGGTTGGGGGGGTGCTGACCCCACCCCCCACCATAACATTATTTTCGTTACTTCATAACTGTAATTATGCGGGATGTATTTTCATTCACTTGACCAAATTTGGCACAGATACCAGGTATGCCCAAATTTGAATACTGGTGGGGGTGAGGGTTGATGTTGCCATTTGGGAGTTGTAGTTGCTGGGATTTATAGTTCACCTACCATCAAAGAACATTCTGAACTCCGCCAATGATGGGATTTATGTATTTATTTACAGTACAGGCAGGATTACAATGTACATATACATGGCAAACATTCAATGCCATAGACACACAACATTTTATAGACAAGACACACAGGTTATTTAACATTCCAACTTTTTCATGAGGGCATTCTGGTCACCAGGGGAGCTGTTGCTTCACCGTCCATTTGCGACACTGGTTAAATAAATCCTCATTTTTTGCATGCTTGCTGGAGATTTTTATGGTGTTGTTAATTTAGTACCTAAATTTCCTACGTGACAGATGTAACTGTCTTTTGGGCTGCAAAGGATGAGCTACACAAATTGGTCGGAAGCTCACTCTGACCCGGGCTGGCTTCAAACTCATGACCTTTTGGTCAGTAGTGATCTTAATGCAGCTGACTCCCAGCCAACTGCGCCACAGTCCCGGTGCAAACTTGTCATACAAAACTCCCATGACCAACAGAAAATATTGGAAGGGTTTGGTGGGCATTGACTTTGAGGTTTGCAGTTGTAGTTTACCAACATCCAGAGAACACTGTAGAGTCAAACAATGATGGATATGGACCAAACTTGGCATGAATACTCAATATGCCCAAATGTGAGCACTGGTGGAGTTTGGAGAAAATAGATCTTGACATTTAGGAGTTGTAGTTGCTGGGATTTATAGTTCACCTACAATCAAAGAGCATTCAGAACCCCACCAACGAGAGAATTGCACCAAACTTCCCACACAGAACCCCCATGACCAACAGAAAATACTGTTTTCTAATGGTCTTTGGTGACCCCTCTGACACCTTGCGACCCCCGCCCCAGGGGTCCTGACCCCCAGGTGGAGAAACGCGGGTATGGATGCACCCAGAATAAATTTGCTGAGCATAGAGGAGTCCCTCCCTTCCTTCCTTCCTTCCTTCCTTCCTTCCTTTCTTTCTTTCTTTCTTTCTTTCTTTCTTTCTTTCTTTCTTTCTTTCTTTCTTTCTTTCTTTCTTTCCAGACTGCAGTTCCCAGTATTTATTTTGGACTAAGGTTCAAATCTCCACTCAAGTCCCATCCACACTGCTATATAATCTAGTTTCTGAATCCAGATCATCTACTTTGAACTGGATTATATGGCAGTGTAGATCCAACCTCAGCCATGCAAAGTCCCACTCTCACAGCCTTGAAGGAAGGAAAGCAAAGGCAAAAAGCCCTCCAAACAACTCATTTAATAAATGAGTTGAAGGTAAACAAAAACTGAAAACCATAGGATTTAGTCTAATGATTGCACGTTATTTTCTTAACCAGATACTGATAGAATATACCCATAATGTATATAATGTATAATGGACCCGTGCGCATGGGGAAAGAGAAGGTGGTTTCATGATGTAGATCACACTTTCCAAACTGTGTGCTGACACATTAAGTGTGTCAGCTGCAGTGCGTAGGTGTGCTGCACGAATTTCATGAGGAGTGACACAACTCTTGGAAACCTATGTTGTTATTTGAGCTCTCCTTGTCTACATCACCATTTAAAGGCACAGGAACTCTCTTCAGTATTCAGCTGGCATCCCGTCAGGAATCCTGGTGTTTGTAGTTTTGTGAGGGACTTACTCTTCTCTGCTAGAAAGCTTTGATGCAGAGCAGTAGATAATTCTAAGTGCCTCACCGAAATACAGCTTGACAGAGTTCCCAAGGATGGAGCCATGGCAGTTAAAGTGGTATGGTTGTGTCACAGTGTACTTTCTGCAGTACTATGTAGATCCTGCTTTGTCCTGTTGCAATCAGTGCAAATTAAACTTAGTTGCTGTTCTGTATCTTCAAATTATCTCTGACATGGAGACCCTAAGGTGGATCTTAATCCTCAGCCAAGCATGTATGTGGGAAAATGTGCTGATAAAAGCTGTAGCAAACCAGCTCTCCACTTTTGTTTGTTTTGCTGCCCACATACGGTCAGGAAGAGACTCTGGAAGAGACTCTGCAAGGCTATTCAATGCTAATCAAGGTGGCCAGTTGCAACATTCACACTTGCCTCCAACAGAAAAGAGTTCTCTCTCCCACCCTGGACATTCCACAGACGTATAAACTTCACTTGCCTGGCCTCCAACAGACCTCACAACCTCTGAGGATGCCTACCATAGATGTGGACTAAACATAAGGAGAGAATGCTTCTGGAACATGGTCATACAGCTCGGAAAACTCACAGCAACCCACCTCATTTTGTTGTTTATGGCAGATATGATGCTTCAATCCCACATCAAAAGTCTGTATTTCTCCAGCCCTCCTTTAAAGGTACAGGTAAAGGTTTTCCCCTGGCATTAAGTCCAGTCGTGTCTGACTCAGGGGTGTGGTGCTTATCTCCATTTCTAAGCCGCCGAGCCGCCGTTGTCCATAGACACCTCCAAGGTCACGTGGCCGGCATGACTACATGCCTTCCCGCTGGAGCAATACCTATTGATCTACTCGCATTTGCATGTTTTCAAACTAGGTTGGCAGAAGCTGACAACAGAAGCTCATGCTGCTCCCCGGATTTGAACCTGCGACCTTTCAGTCAACAAGCTCAGCAACTAAGGTTTAATCCACTGCGCCACCAGGGGCAGTGGTTTAAACCCTCCATTATGACACACAAACTGCCAATGCTGCTAAAAACAATTCAAGCTAAGAATATATAAAAATATTTTTCAAAAAAAGAAGCTTTACTTTTAGTCTGACACTACTTTAACTGTCATGGCTCAATAGTATAGAATTATGGGAGCTGTGCTTTTGCAAAGTCTTTAGCCTTCTCTGCCCAAGAGTGCTGGTGCCTCACCAAACTTCAACTCCTAGGATTGCATGGTACTGACCAATGGAAGTTCAAATTCTGTCAAATTGCATTAGCCCTACAGTGCAGATGCATCCTTTGTTAACTTGATGCACCCTTTGTTAACATGAAATATACCTATAAAGGCCTTTCTCAGAAATATACTAAGCAGCTTTAGGCAAACAGCTTGTTCAGTCTTAGCCAACCATATGGTGAAAAGAACTCAGGAGATGCTTTATAATTGTACCTAGGGGTACTAAGGATACATTGGTCTAAGAGTAACTTGGAGCGCATCTACATGGGAGAATGAATGCAGTTTGATACCACTTTAACTGCTATGGTTCAATGCTATCACGGGACTTGTAGTTTTATAAGATCTGTAGCTTTCTCTGCAAAACTACAAATCCCATTATCCCATAGCATTGAGCTGTTTCAGTTAATGTGATATCAAACG